CATACTTCCATGGAAAATGGCATGGAAACTAATTATTTTATCACTACAGAACCACAGGATTCAGGGACAGAACTTTTACTTCCTCTCCTGTTGTGCTGGAAAATCATTACTGATGTTAGAGCTCACAGGAAACAGCCCCCCATGAAGCACAGGGAAACCCAAGAAGGTCAGTCCTGCACTGTTTCAAACCTCTTATTAGAAAACCCAAAAAGCCACACAAAACAATATGGACATTCCTGTTATATCCCAAACCAGCAGTGACATCAATTGTTTGTCTCTCCACTGTGCTTCTTCATGGACCCCACAAAACAGACTCTCACTTGAGCTTCCTGAGAGAATGATGTATCAAGAAATCACAGGACACGTGAGTACACCTGCCCCAGACCTGCTCTGCAGCACATGACAGTGACAGCACCAGCACTGGGCAGTGACTGCCTCCTCTCAGGCCTCTGCCCTGCCCTCTGTTTCTTTCCTCTCTATCTCTTGCCTTCCCTCACACCTTGCTTTCTCTTCCAGCTGGATCATTGCACCCTGAGGGTTCTCAGGGAAGCTGGGAGCTAGGAAGCAGAGTTCAGACACCAGATGAGAAAACACAAGGGAGGAGATTGTTTTCTTACTTCTTTGCATGATGCCACCCTCCAGGCCAGTTAATTGCTACTTTGCACTTGCCATCCAGCAGGCACTCGGCTGCAGTGATGGTGGCTCCTCCCACAGCTGCTGCATACTCAAAGATCCCTTCAGTGGCTGGACAGTCGTAACCTGCAGGTAAGAGTCCGTGTAAGAGCTGCACATCACACACAACAGGCCTTTTCCTCCAGGGGAAGCACATTGCTTTTGTTTGAGTCTTCAACACTGACCCAGGCTGGAGCAGCCTGTTCCTGAAGAACTGATCCCATGGAGGACCCATACTGGAGAAGTTCTTGAAAAACTGCTACCCATAGGAAAGACCTGCACTGGAAAAGTTCATGGAAGAGTGTCCTGTGGGAGGGACCCCACACACACAGGGCAAGAGTGAGGAGGAAGGAGCAGCAGAGAGGTGTGAACTGACCACAACCCCCATTCCCTGTCCCATTACACTGCTTGAGGGGGAAAGTAGAAGAGCTGTCAGTGAAGCTGAGGCTGGGAAGAAAGGTGGACGAGGGGGATGGTGATTTCAGTTTTATCTTGAATTCTCACTATCGTACTCCATTATTAATTGGCAATAAATTGAATTAATTTCCCCATGTAGTCTCTTTTGCTGGTGACAGTAACTGGAGAGTCATCTCCCTGTTATTATCTCAACATGATCTTTTCCACTACATTTTCTCCCCCACCCTATTGAGGGCAGGAGAGACTGTATCTTGGTGGGCACCTGGCAAAAAAACCCCACCCACACCATAAAAATCAACCCACCACAAAAAAAAACAATCCAAATGTTTTCTTGCACTCAGTTCATTTAAAAATGTGTCCTGAACCAACTTCTGAGTTGTGTGCCTGGGTTGCTGAACCTAATGGTTCCTCACACCAATCTCACAAAAAAAGTATCTGGCTACCTGACCAGAAAAGCCCTGACATGGTCACTGACATACCTCTTCCCTAAAAATGTACATACACAAACTAGTCCAGCCTAGGTAAGCTGTAGGTCTATGTCTATAGTACGATCTTCATCTAGTCCTACTGCAGCCTCCCTGCAGCTGCTGCCCACCAAACTTGATACCAGGGCTGCTTGTCTTCTTGTAGACAGAGCAGCTTCAGGAATGTAAAGTCTAAGGCACACTCGTGAGATCGGCACAGAATCTGCACCTCTGCCTCAGTTCTGGGTCACTCCTCCCATTCCTGATACCAAGACAGTGCCCATAGCCATCTCACCTGCTTTACCTGCTGCACTGCTCAAGCTGTCTTAGGTCCAGGGGGGCAAGAGCCCTCTGCTCCAGATGTAAGTCACCAGACTGCTCTGCAGCTGCTCTGGTCACTACAGCTCCAGGCCACTGTTCACACATGCCCTGCCCACAGCAGGCTTGCAGCAGCCAGTCCCAGCTCCAGCCCGAGGGCAGTGTCAGGGTCTTCCATCCCATTCCAGAGCCTCAGAGCAGCAGCAAAGGGCACCAGCCCCAGTCAGCAAGAGACAGGCCAAGCTGCACAAAGCAGCAAAGGGAGCTCTACCCTCAGCTGGCACCAGGGAAAGTGCCAGCCAGCCTGTCAGATGACTGCTGGGGTTCAGCAATACCCTGTAAAAGAGCGTTTCCTTCCAAAACTAAGCCTAGCATCCCCCTGAGCTCACCCCTCTAACTGCACCTCCAGCAAAAAGCATCCTGGCCCTGGCACTCAACTTATCTCTTGCTGAAGAAGCACATCCTTACCCAGTCCATACTCCACAGACTCCGGGTGGTCATCATCCCCCTCCTCGCTGACCTTCTGCAGGTGCTGCAGGTAAGCATCTGTATGGAAACTCGCCATTTCCTCCATGGAGGCCACTTTTGGCTTGACTATCCTGGGCAGAGAGGAAGAAGGGAGCATCAGGGCAAGAGGATCCAGGGTTCAGCTGGAATGTCCAGCTTTAGCCTTTACCCTAAGAGCCTTCTTTTGGCTGTTACTGATGTAAAAGCAAACAAAACTCCCTCTTTCTCTTTCAAGTGAGAAAGCCACCCAGCTGAGATGGAGCAGGCCTTGCCCCTGGTATAACAACTGCCCACCCCAGTGAAGAACACCTGCAGGTGCTGCCTGCATTAATCTTCCCACGTTGCTTCAAGTTTTCTTCCCTGTTCTGCATGTTCTCTCAGTGTGTATATTCCCCAGCATATCCACATTCAGGTTACACACAGAGGAACTAATGGAGGGAAATGCCCAGGCCCAGCACAGGCTGTGGCAGGACTTCAGCCTGGATCAGGAGCTGTGCAATGCCTCTCCCATGCTGTGACCTGCACCAAACCAAAGACTGTCACTGTTCCAAGCAACTTACACAGCACCTTCCTGGGTCTGGGTGCTTTGCAGTGTGCCTAAACAAATCCTGCAACACACTGAACCCCCTCCAAAACTTGGACAGTGGGAGCATGCACAGGCAGTGCAGCACAGCTCTGTTGCTACAGGAAGAACACAGGAAGCTCCCAGCTCCAGGCTAGCATCGATGCTTCCCACCCCATGTGAGGGCAAACAGTCCTTCAGGTCTGCTCCACAATGATACCTGCAGTCATTTCCCAAGCACACTCTGCCAGAAAAAGAAATTGTTTAAAAAAAGAAGTCTCAAAACAACCTTCTGGCTGTGCTGAACTGGAGCACATTTTTTCTAAGATTTTATGAGATGCTTCACAAGAGGGACTAAGCTATGCCTTTTTTATTTTTCCCTTCATATGCCCCAGCATCAAGAGGCAAATGAAGCAGGAGGTACCTCACTTTTCTGCCCCAGATCTCATCCAGTCTTCTCTCCTGGACAGCATGCAGACCTCACAAAAAGTCTCCCAGATAAATGACAACGCACCAAAACAATATGATCCCTCTCTGCATCAGCACTGACTGGAGCAGCACCAAGGCTGTCACCCTGCTCAGAGTCTCAAGCATGGGGCACACTCTACAGAGAAGGCACAAAACTATAAGTGCTCCACCAGACCAGGAGGGTAACCATGAATTACACCTGCCACAATTGCTGTAATCGTGTCCATGTAGCATCTTCCTTTAACCCTAGAAATACGCACTGTGGGGGCTCCTATAATCACACCACCAGCAGGGACAGTGTGAAACCTGAAACTCAGCACCTTCCAAATCTTAGTGGAGAATAAAACACCCCTTCACAGAAAACGGGAGCACTTACTTCATCTGGTCAAGCAAGCAATACGCTTCAATCAGTGAGTGCACCATGCTGGCCTAAAGAAAAGAGTAAGACTGTGAGAACAGGACACACAAAGCCAGCAACCAGGGGCCCAAGGACTCGCAGACGAGGTGTGTCTCAGACTCCTCTCGGCAGCGACTTTCCCTGGCCGGGTCCCCTCTCGGGCCGAGCCATGCCGTGCGAAAGGGCCCTCGGTGTGCCGGGCAGAAGCACAGCCGGCACGGCTGTCCGGGGAAGGGAAGCGTGGCTCCAGCGTCCGAGCCCGCGCTCCGGGGCGGTGTGAGCGCCCAGCCGATCCATCCCCGCTGTAAGGCCACACTCCGCCTGCTTCCCCCGTTCTCCTTTCCTGCCCGGGCCTCACCGCTGCGCTCCCCGCGCCCCCTCGCCCCCGCCGCGGCGCTGACCCGCTTGGGCACTTTGCAGAGGGAGTCGCAGAGGGTCACGTACTCCGGGCTGTACACGTAGACCGGCGGCGGCACCGCGGCCATGGGGGCCGGCAGGGCCGGGACCAGCGCCCGCAAGGCCGCGGGCAGGGCGCGCCGGCAGTTCCGGCCCCGCGGCGCGCCGGGAGCTGTAGGCCCGCCCCGCCAGGAACAGCAGCCGGCTGCTGCAAGGGCCATTTTTACTGCCCCCACGCAGCTCGGGTGCTGTCCATTCTCTAAGAATGTCGTGTAAAAAGGCCCGTGGCTCGCACGCGGCGCCTGCCCTGCTCAGGGAGCACCTCAGGAGGGGCCCGGGCCTCCCCACCCCCGGAGCTCCCAGCGGGTCCCTCGGTCTGAGGGCTGAGCCAGGCCGGGGCTCGGGCCCTTTACGGCTCCCCTTAGAAGGGGTCACAGAGGGAGGGATTAGCCATGATAGGAAATATGTGTGCTAATGTATTTACAAACAATTCCATGAGTGAGAATATGGGTGTTAACGTGTTAGAAATGGGTCGTAATGTTTCTACCCACTTCAAGCCACAGGTTTGTCACAGAACCCAGAGAGTTTGACTCCTGAGACAGACAAATGGGTCCACACCAGCCCGTGTTTCTGAACTTTGGGGGAAAATGACAGGCTCAAGGGGAGAATGTGTGGTAGGCCCTTCGGGAAGGCTGTGCCTTCCTAGTATCTCAGCAAGAGGCCAACATGCAGCCGGGAGTTTAGCATAAAAGGAGGCTGTACTTTCTGAAACCTAGAGAGAATATCCCACAGGCTGATGTCCCAGTAGACTCTCTCCCTTTATTTGAATAAAGTTGCAGGGCTCCTCTGTCTCCTTTACGGACACTGGCTTTTCAAAGCATGATCTTCCATACAGCCACACGTACAGAAGAGCTGCTGCCCCAAGAGACCACCTGGCCTTGAGGCCAAACCAACCTGGACATCAGAAAACACAGGCACACACACAAGAAAACATCTGGCTTTGGTGCCAGCCATATCCATAGTGGAGTGGCTGATTTTTTTGCCTGGCAGCCACCTCTGCGCTCACACACAGCCAGCCCAGGGTGCTCCACAGGCAGAGCATGGTGTTGGCACATGGCATGGGCACTGTCGCCCTGCCAGCCCAAGAGACAAGTTCAGCTGCTGTCCATCACCCTCTCAGGAGCTCAGGCTGTGACATCCACCCGGCACAAACCACACCTTCTGTGCTTCCTGGAGTGGACATGGCCCCTCAGACAGAGCTCCCATGAAAGCACACAGCCATCCAGGCCTCTGCGTGCAGGGACTGCCAGAGCCTTTCACTGGGAAGGATGGCAGTGCTAAGAACAGCTGTGTTCAGTGTGGCCAAGATCTGCCAGCCCTCGGGGCTCAGCTATGAGAGGATGTAGAAAGATTAAGGGGCATAAGGAAGTCTGAGAAAGACTGGTAGAACTAGGCTCTGCCCTGCCTGACAGGAACAGCCAGGCCAAAACACTCAAGTTCAAGAGGATCCTGTATCCTCCCTTGCCAGGTGAAGGCAGTAACTTAAAGGAAAGGAGTGGGTGGAGGCAGGCAAACCCCCTCCTTGCCCACCTTGCTTCCCCACATGCCTCTGTACAGCAGGTATGAAGCTCTCACGTGGAAGGCCAGGCGATGGATGATGTGGATGTTAGTCCATCTACACCAGAGGTGTTGCCATGGCTGTGACACCTCAGACCATGTCCACCTCTACAAGAGAGATGAGTTACAGCTGTAGGCGAATCCTTTCTGAGGGTCCAATGTGCCACACAGACACAGAGTCCTCTTGGGGAAGTCTGCTGCTTCCTTGGGGCCCAGGTTAAGCACAGCACTAGGAAACTTCCCAGCTGGGTTCAGCTTCAGACTGTTATCCACTGCTGCTCTTCCATGTGGGTGACAATGGAACTGCAACACATAGTCCCAGGGCAGTCAAAGGAGACTTCAGGGCCTGGTAAGGAATTCTGGAACAGTTTCTTTCCTCTGTCCTTCCAGTTGTGGGCAGTGACATTGAAAGAGATGGACTCAGTCTGCTGAATATATGGCTTGGTGGCTGATGTCACTGCCACAATGTCAGGTTTTTTAATTTTTTTAACAAGGCATGCCACTGTTAGATGTGATCAACCTTTCCCAAAGGGAAAGAGGATCTTTGCTGAGAGCTTTGCTCACTGAGAGCTGTAAACCAGTCTTGGAGCGGGACATAGATGATATTGGGCTGGCCTGTGACAAGCTGTGGGACATTGCAAGGTCAGAGAGTGCAAGTGAGGGTTCTTGGCCTGTTGCTCAACATGCTGAGTGTACTGAAGCACACCTGACATCTTAGGGAGGTGAACCAGAGAGCCAAAAGGGAACCCCACCTCTTCTACCACTTTGTGGCATGTGTGCCTGATCCTCATCAGCCCAAACACACCATCCTGAGCGGGGGATGACCTGCAGGGTAGATTAGAGCAGGGATCCACTATGTCCCCACCCCCTCTGTGCCAGGCTGTGGGAGATGGAGCAGAAGCCAGAGAGGAGGATTAAAAGCATGGTTTCGATTGCACAGGTAACACCAGATAGCCAGCTCAGAGCTGCTTCACAGGGCATGAGAACTCAGGAACCTGTGACTTGGCCACTAGCACTACTGCCAGGGATAGAGTAGATGGCACAGAGGGGCTGCCACTGGCATGTCCCAGCCAGCCAGAGGCCCTGTACTAGCAGCCTGGAGGTCAAACGGATCCTGGCTACCATGACCTCCCCAGCTCTGCACACAGGACACCCAGCGGGGGATGATGGGCTGCCTGATTCCAAGCAGCACAGCTGTGGCTGGGCTGGACCATATTGATTTTGGATGTGCTGGGAGAAAGGCTCAGGCACCATCCACTATTTCTCTAGCAAAACCTTTCCATCAGCAGCAGGAAGAGCAAGAGCCTCAGCCTGCACTAGCATAAATCCTACAGATTTGGAATACAAAGCAGCACAGAAGAGGTTAAAAACTGTAAACCTACTGGAGGCAGGGAGAGTGTGAGCTGGTCAGAGAGCATTGTAATGCTGAGCACACAGGTCTGCTCAGGGGAACCCTTTCCAAATCCCTCAGGGATTTCCAGGGGTGATGAATCAGGAAGAGTCATGCAAACAGAACCTTCTAACACAAGTACACTTCAAAGCTCAGTCTTTCCCATGCTCCACAGGCCACACAGGCACAGGTCAGTTTAGGACATATGCCTCCTGTGGAGTTCCTCAGAGGGCTGCTCACCCACCAAGAGGCCAGGACTGGGAGGAGAGATGGCCACACAAACTAACCTAGTGTTCATCTTTACAAGCTGATCAGTGAAGAACTGCAAAAGCTACTGCATGGAGCAGCCATCTGCGGGCAGAAAGTCGTACACGTACAAGGCCACCGACTTGGACAGGTAGGTCATGGTGCCAAAGCGGCCGCTCGGTGCACTGTCATACAGCAGGCTGCAGATGCCTGTCGAAGGATCCCTCTCCAGCATCTGCTCATCAGCGCCCAGGGCTTTCTGGATTTTGGACAGGAAAGCAGAAAGGCATCATTAGAAAAAAAGGCAATCCCATTATCAGCTTCCATCCCAAGCGTTCTCTGTTGCACTCAGTGTGACACACTGACCATGAGCAGTGGGACGAGGACACCACAGCTTTGCTGTGCCCCATGAACACAACAGGGACAACAGGCAGGGCTCTCCAAGTGGGTGAGCCCTGCACAGGTATGGGGAATGCAGCCAGCAGCCCTGGGTGAGGCCTGGCCCCTACCTGCTCCTCATAGAAGAGGTCATTGGCCATGTGCAAGATCTTTTCCACAGCTATGATGCCACCAATGGTGTGCACCTCCATGTCCACCAGCATGGTGAGCACTAAGATCGCTTCCACCAGCAGCTGCCTGTACTCTGGCTGGGGCACACGGTTGAGGACAGACTCCACATGCACAGCAAACTTCATTTCCCCTGGGGTCATCTGTGAGGAAGCAGAAAGAAATGTACCTAAAGCACTGTATGACCTGCTCAATTCCTGAGCTGTGCTGGGCAATCTCCCAGGGCAGCCAGCACACACAACCAATGTGCCCCATTCACATGAACCTCCTACCTCTCTGGTTGTTGAGGAGGGAAGAACAAAGCCCTCCACAGAGAGACCGTGGCACTGCAGAACAAGAAGGAGAGATCATGGTTATGGCTTGGGGAAGCACCATGCTAAGATACAGAGGTCCAGCCCACCAACTTGCTCCCACTTGAGCACTGGTGCATGCTGCCCTTACACCCCAGCTCTGCCTCCTGACTCCATATAGCATCACTCCTTTCCCATCAGTTCAGTGTCAGCCAGAGCCCCCTGCATGGGGGCTCTGCTCCCTGGCTTACCATGCTGAGGATCAGCTGTGCCCAGAGCACCTTCAGCTGTGGCTCTAGCCATGCACTTATCTGCTTGATGCATGAAGCACCTGAGCAGCTCCCCTCTGCAAGGTGCAGGCTGAGGCAAGTCCTACAAGACTACAAGGCAAGTGCACATCTTCTACAGCTTTCCAAGGTCAGCCACAGGCCTTGTCTATGAAGCATATATCTACACAACATCAGGGACCAGCCCGGAGTGCCTAAGTCCCCCTGGCAAGGCTGGTGCCTGGGACCAGAGGCTCACATGCATGGAGAGGCACCAGTTATGTCTAACTCACCTTCTGCAGGACCTTCCAGACGTTCTGGTAGAAGCCCACAGGGACACGGTTCAGGGCCCCATCCAGGCGGCGCCTCCGCTGCCACTGGCCCTGCCGGTTGTCCGTACTGCCCTGCTCTTCTAGCTTGCTTGAAAAGGAGTCCTTGCACAGCAGCTCTGTGTGCCCAGTAGACTGGGCAGACAAAACAAGAACCACAGAGACTGCTGCAAAGTTAAATATCCCACAGGAACGCAGCCTGCTGCTGCTCAAGAGTTTGTAGTTCTCCAGCCTCATTCCCAAGACAGAGCTGCTACCCCACCCCCTGCTCCCAGCAAAGCCCACCTTACAGTCCCAGCTCCCTGTAGCACTCCCCAGAGCACAGCTCCTTCCTGCAACCACAGACAAGACAGACCCCATGTGTGCAGCCAACAAACACAAGTTACCAGAGAGGATCTGAGGTCGGTGTCCCCGGACTGCAAACTGAGGGGCTGAAGGAGAAAGGGAGAGATGGAAATGAGACTGTGCCAGAGCAGGGCAGAAGTCACAGCAAACAGAGCAGCAGCAGCACAGATCAGGGTCAGGTCACAGGGCAGTTATCCCAGGGCCAGGGCTGGCTGGAGACAAGAGGGAGTTTTGAAAGGAAAGCTGCAGAGGGCTGCACATGCCAGGGCTGCAGCAGCAGTGGGTTTGCGCTGGGCTGCACGCAGGAATAGGACTGCAACTGCTCTGCTGGCTCACTGGTACGGGCAGGGATTTAGTCTTAAGCAGACAGAAGGACCAGTAGGAAGGTCACTGCCCACAGACAGCCCTCTGTGATGTCAGGTTTCACACTGCAGCAAGTTGGCCCTAACTCTGCTGCATCAGCCTGGCCCCAGCAAGCTCTGCCTCTTTGATGACAAGACACATTCTGGAGCTCAGGACTCCTCCTGGACACAGGCACAAGAGGAGGTCCTTGGCATTTGTAGCTGACCAGAGGCCTCCTTCCCCAGAGAAGAAATAGCTGGGGAGGCTGCAGGCAGGATCCAATGAACTGTCCAGCAGTCACTACTGGTCATGGCACTGGCAGCATCACACCATCCTGCTCAGCAGATTTTGTGGGTATAATGGAATGTATTTGAGCACAGCTCCCAGCTGGCTATAATGGCACTTGCTTAGAGGGGAAGCCAACTCATTGCTGCATCAGCTGAGGGAAGCTCATTGACTTGTGCATGCAGGGAAGCTGCCCTGGTGCATGGCATGAGGGGCAAAAGCTGAGACTGCAGGACCAGAGAGGTTTCACCTTACTCCCAGGCAGAGACTGCCTACGTTTATCCAATTGCTGCAAGAGAAGAACAAAATGAAGGTTCTGCTGTTGGAGGATGCCCACCAAGATACTAGCCACACCTGGGACACCACACAGTCCTCCCCACCCCTGCATCTTCTCAAACACCCCTGTGCTCCCACTGAATTGCCAGAGCAACCCCCACCCACTACCAGATTCACTCCAACTTTCCCCCCAGGGCAGGACTGGAGACAAAATTAGCTCCTGGAAGCATCTGTGCCTCCCACTCTTCCATCAGTTCTGCCTGGTGTGTAGCTGGTTTTCACCCACAAGACCTGTTGTGAGTGGCCTGCACCACCTGCCCTCACCTGCTTGATTTCACTTTTCAGCCTGACGAGGCCACTGCGCTCAGGCCTGGTGGTCCCGCCAGCTCCCATGTCACAGATGGAGACAGCAGTGGTCAGCGACGAGTCCTCTGAATGCACTGGTGGGGCAGAGAGGTCAGGAGTGGGCAGCCTCGCTCAAGGCATGGCCATCCCTCACGGCTGCCTGGGCACTGGCACCTCTGCATGACCTTGCCCTCTAACATGATAGCACCACAGACCCACGAGTGCAGTACGGAACTGCTTCAGTTCAGACCCAACCAGCTCAAGTGCCAAACTAAGCAAAGCTCAAATCGCCATGAGATTCAGGCTTCAGCCCAGAAATCACTGAGCACCATCCTTATGAGGAGCAGAGCTTCCTGCTGGACCCCTCCAGTACTGAAGGATCTTGCTGAACATGGGGGAGCACAGGGACACCACCCAAAGGTAGGAACATTAGATCTGGCCATGCTGTGCATGCAGCTTTGCCCCGAGATGCTCTCTGCTGGGACTCACCACTCCTTTCCACCCCAAACTCCTTGCCAGAGAGGATGTGGTAGAGGAGATTCTTCATGTCTGATGGGCTGAGATTCATCAGGTTCTCTGTGGCTTCTCTAGCTGGAAAGAAGAGAACTGTGATTCTGTAGCCTGCCTCATAGTCATCCTAGGACATTTTTACCCTGCAAGCCATTCTGTGAGCAGGGGGAGCTCATCTGGCAGGACATACACTAGCTCCAGGTGTTGCTTATAACACGGACTCTCCCCATGGCCAGCCCAACTCATGCTGGGATGAAGACTGCACTGCAAGCACTTGTTTGTGCTGCTCAAGAACACGTCCAGCTGCAGACACTGGCACTTCCATGCAGGGTCCTGTCCTAGCCTGAGCTGCCCACTTTTAACAGTACTCCTTTCTAGCTGACAGAGCCCCAAGCATCACAGGAGCTACCCCAGCTAGGGTGCTGTCTCTGCCACATGTACCTGAACAACGCAGGGAGTGTGCCAGCTCCGTTGCCATCACCTGGATGATGAGCCCAATGCGGATGCGGAACATCTCAGCAAACAGTGAAGGCTGTGTGCGTATGTACATGGCCAAGTACACCATGATCTCCTAGAGGGGCAAAAGCAGATCACCTCACTGCTGCTCACCAGGGCAGACACCCAGCTCTAGGCTCCCCTGACACCCCGGCCCCTCACCTGGGTGAGGATAGACACACTGAGGTTCTTCTCACTGGCTTCATCAATAAGGCGAACGAGTTCCTCATAGGGGATTGGGCTGGGGCATGGACAAACAGCAGAGCAGGTGAGAGGCAGCAGAGCAAACCCTGTTACAGGCTGGGGACAGCCACCCAGGGCCACTCCTGCCCATGGACCCCAAGCACCAGGCTCACATCCAGACCCAGCCCAGCATGCTTGGGGAGAGAGGGGTGCCACACTCACGCGGTGATTGTCTTCTCACGTGGCTCTGGGGGCAGCCCCACTGTCAAGTGTTTCTGGTGAGACAGGAGGTCAGTACAGGCCTGGGGACAGAAAGGCAGCCACTGTCAACAGCTGAGGGTTTGGGGGCTCAGCACAAAGCAGCGGGAGACAGAGCTGATGCAGCCATGGTTCTGCTCACTCTGCTGCCTCCTCCCTGACAGAGCTCAGCCTGTTAGAGGCTGGCTGTACAGCTGTTACCTCATCCAGAGCTTCAACCTTCTTCTTGAGGATGCCAGAGATGTAGCGGATCAGGGCCCACTGGCGTGCCTCCCCCACCCGCACATACAGCTCCGTGAGGAGCTCCTTGACGGTGGGTCCAGGCTCACTATCAAGCCCTGTGTGCCACTCGGGTCCCCTGTGAAGGTGAAGGAGGTGCTGTGTCATATCCAGCAATTGTCACAGCTCCCTGGCAGGCCCCCTGGGCTGTGCCAAACCCCTGTATGCACAGTGAGCCCTCAGGACACAGAGATCATCCTACTTGAGCATGTGGAGCATGTAAAGGATGTCTGCTTGCTCCTGCAGCGTGGGGCAGACGCGCAGCTGGTCCACCAGTGCCTTGCAGTCCACGTTGCCATCCTCATCACGTGGCAAGTTCATCTCTGCATAGAGTGCATGGCTCTGGGGGAAGGGAAACCCATGCTGATGATTAGCATCACCAGCACCCTGCACCAAATGGACCCATGCATATTCTCCCTCATCAAACAACAGGACTTCCCTTTGCAATCCTGCAAGGACACTCTGGCTATAGCTGAAAGAATAGCTCAGTCCAGGAGAGACAGAACTCACCTTGCTGTCCAAGTCAGGCTGCTGGAGTGAACTCAAAAGCTTGACTGACTGCTGCGATGCCTGGAAGATCCTGCTGGGGACATACATCCCAACATCTAAAAAAAACCCCACAGGTTGGTGGAGACACATCCAGCCCAAATCACCATTACTGTGCCCCAAACTACCTCAGACACTGACACTGCTCCCCCAGCAGTCCTTGCAGAGGGTGACTATGGGAGAAGCAGCCCCTGTCCACCTATTCAGAGGAACACCACAGGCAGCTGCCATCCTTTACTGAGTTTTCATGGGGCTGCACAGGCACCAACTCCAAGACATTCCATGGGCAGGACTAACATGATGGACATAAAGTGCCTTTGCCCAGGTAAAGGCTTAGTTTGTCTGCAATCCACAGGAACCCCAGCATCACAGAGCTGTGAAAGCTCCCAAAGCACTTCAACCTCACCCCTGGGCTCAAGGGAAGATGTGGAGGGTGTTGGAGTTACTCACTCTGGACATGCAGGTCCTTGGCCTTGGATGCCAGGGACATGAGGTCACGGGTGGTGTGGACAGCAGCCCTGAAGCGGCTCAGCCCTCCCCGCTGGGTGGTCGGAGGCAGGTTTGACTGGGGAGTCGTGTGCTGCAGCAGGTGATCCAGATACTGAGCAACCTCATCGTCGGTGTCCTCTGGAAGGGAAGGCACCAAGCAGGAGTTCAGCTACTTTGAGTCGTGGCACCCAAAGGCCTAGAGAGCTCCCATGTAGAGGAATTTCTCATGGAAAAAGGGCATGATATCCTTCATGGTATTTCTTTGCAGGAACTGGACAACCCTGGCCTGCAGATTACAGAGATACTTTAGTTACCCTGGCCTGCAGAGATACTTTAGTTACTTTAGACATATTTAGGACATCCTTGGAAAGACAATAAGGTTTGTACAAATACAATAGTCAATGCTGGATGCTGAAAGCCATCACATACTATAACCTGATCAGACACTTGTAGTATGACAGCCAGTCAATAAGTGATTTGTATATGTAATCATATTACGTTAGCCAAAGAATGTTAATTAGCTATTGTATTATGTAAGGAAAACATGAATAAATTAGACAATAAAGGAGGATGACAGCTAGATATTGGTCTGAGTGTCATTACTCCAGCCGGCTCTCCGTGGGACCCTCTTCACTCCCACCTGTGCCTCAGCAGGGACAAAGCTTTGCTGGCTGCACGAGGTGACAATGTAGGGCCAGTGTTGGCAGCAAAGCAGACTAATGGACAGTGCCAGCAGCCAGGCACACAAAGCACCCCTGTTCCTGCAGGACTCCTGCCCTGGGACACTGCCTGCCCCAAACTGGGGCTCCCTCCATGTTCCACGTTGACAAAGGAAGCAAAAGGGCTGCAGCATGTCTCTGATCCAAGCCTGTGCAAGGACAGGAATGTCCCACTCAAACCCAGCAGGAAAACCCTCACACTCCTTCTCTCCAGGGAAGAGGTACAGCCAGAGGCAGCTTGTCCAAGCAGAGACCACTTACAAACACCCCAGCACAGCAAGGGCATCTTCCAAGCAGACTCCAGCAAGGGAGCAAGGCAAGGTGGGTTTTGCAACAGTTATTTGTAAGTTGGAGTTACAGGAAGAGTTATGGTTCTGCCTTCCTCTTTGCCCAGCTTCAAGCAGCTCCCAACACCACATCGGGATCACCAGAGGCACCATGCACTAACAGCAGCATGGAAGAGGGTGCTCAGAGGCCAGGTCTCTGCTCAGTCAGGAGATAAAAGTGAGGGGATGCCCCTGGGGGGGAAGTGCCCCAGATAAAACACAGATGCCAATGCACTAACAGTGGGCCAGGGCAAAGCTATGCTGCTCTCCAGCTGGAAAACTCGGAGGTGTGCTGGCCCCAGGAGATGAGCTGCTGACTGCACCTGAAGCAGCATGGCATCCCCTTTCCACCCCTCAACGGAATGCCTCGTGACAGTGCCTGAAGGCTAGGATGGAAAAATCCCCTAAGCACCACCCTTGAGAACATTCACCTGGCTGCAGCATCTGACCACGGGAAAATGTTAAAATTCAGCATCTTTGAGATGCTGTTGAAAGGACAGGCAGATCCTCTCACTGGAGCTGGGAGGCGAAGCAGACAACTTGGACAAACCCTGATGCAGCCTGTAAGGAGGCTGCAGATGAAGTGAGAGAAGGGCAAGAAAAATGAGCAGAGTCCCAGCAGTGCGTGCACTGGCTGCAGGAGCTGCAGAGGTAAATTAGATGGCTGATGATGGCCAGTGCTAGATCACACAGATGTCCCCAGACCTGCCTGCAAGGGGAACAGCAAAATTTGCACCCTGCCATGGTCTCAGCAGAAGTGGGGGTCCCTCATGCTCTGATGGGCCAAAGCATTCCCAGGTACTCTCTATACAGCAGTAAGGCTTCAATTTGGCACTCACTGGAGCAGCTCTGCCCAGGGGAGGGGCAAAAGCTTGGGATAAAAACAGATTAATTAGGTGGCTCTTCCCCACCAGCTCGGTCACTGTGCTTCTGCAGTGCCATTTATGCATCAAAGACCCTCAGCCCCATCTCCCAAGCCGAGGCAGGTTGCCAACCCCTTATCTGTTCTCCACAGAGCAGCTTATGAAGGTCAGAGCTGCTCATTCCAGACAAGGTTGACAGAGAGCTAGATGGGAACACGGTGAAAACCCAAGCACATGAAGAACACAGCAGTGTGTGCTGGCAGGGAGGTTAGGTGTTATGGTTGTAAGGGTGAGTTAGGCATTTGCCACCCCCCAGCAGTGACTGGCCTGTTCTCCCTTACTATCCTCTGCTACCTGCAAGCCATGCAGCCACTCCTAGGTGCCTAGCTTCTCAAAGCTGTCACTGCTGAGCCTGTAACTCTTGGCAAAGACCTTACCCTCTGGCCCAGGGTCCATAAAGCTGAGGTGTGTTCGGCATGATGTTGTCAGGAACTCCGACAATTTACCAGTCTGAATTCTGGGCAAGAGATAGGAAGGTCACATGGAGAGGAAAGGGGAGGTGATACCCTTGGCTTTACCTCCTGGCTCCAGGGCAGGCCTGTCGCTGTCGAGGCAGGACAGGAATGAATAGACTTGACTCAGAAGGCTGCTGAGAGTAAAACTCCGATTTATTCAAAATACACTGCTCTTTTATACAGAGCTTTGTGAGGACCAAATCCATTGATTCTGAAGTGAAAAGAACCCACAGCATTGGTGCAAAGTGCTTGATGCACAGTGATAGAACTTAACTATGAACAATGTGAAAGGCAAGAGAGATAAAGAATTATTTACATTCTCTCCAGCTCTTCCTCAGTCATCTGCCTGGCTAGAAACTCTCCGTTTCTTTCTTTGACTGAATCTGAGTCCCACACAGGCCCTTTGATGGGGAGACATGTTCACCAGGAGCATACACACACTGATGTCTACTTTAGCTGCCTGCAACTCTTTCAGCCATGGGTGGGCATGGAAGGGATGCCCAAAAGCTATTAGAGGAATCCTGCAGTCATGGGTTTGATGATATGAAGAGCCATGTCCTCTCTTTCATCTCCTCAGTTGGATTGTAGCCCTAGGGCATGCTGATAGCCTAGCACACCCCATTGTATCTTCCCCAGCTTGCTCCCCCACAGCCTATGCTCTGCCCAGCAGGTATCCTCACAACCAGGCTCCTGGAGGCCATGAGCCCTCTCCCTCCTGCACTGCAGGAAGCTGCACTCACCTTGCACCGCCGAAATACCCATCCTGCAGCTTCCGCAGCATCGCCAGCAGCGTGGGATGCACACTGCTGCTGGTCTCATCTGTGTGGAAGATGCACAGGCAGTCAGGCTCTCACAATCAAACTCACTCCCAGAGCCAGGTGGGCATTCAGACACCCAAAGCACTGTGGCCAGACCCTCACTCTGGGGTATGTGGTCAGGCTGTGGTACCAAAAGCACCACCCAAAAAGGAAAATTCTGGACTATCCAGGCTGGATTCAAGGAAAACCATGCCAGGATGTACTCCAGGCTCCTCGGATTTCACCTTGGGCTGAAGCAGACAGTACCAGACAGCAGCACCTAACAGCCCCCTGCTCTGTCTCTGCCTTTCACATAAGGAAGCAGAGGAGTGGGCTGCAGTCAAGGGCAGGGGGCACCACAGCAAAAGGTACACTCGAGAAATTAAGGGGATTTCAAGTACACAAGGAGACACAGAAAGGCCTTAAAGCAGAACATCACCCTCCTACACAGGCTCACAGGGAACCCGTGAGCTGCTGCAGGCAAGCCAGTTCTACTCTGTGCCTTTGCTCCTTCTGGTTTACTGTTTTCCCCTCTCTGTTGACTAGGAAAGCCTCTAGCAGGTGCTCACTCTTAGGGAAGAGTCAAGACACAGAAAGAGCACCAAGAACACTTCTAGACAGAAACTGCGGTTTTGGTCTTGGCTCCCAAAGGGCCTTCCCACAAGCCTATTTGCCTGGAATCTGAACACATCCGTGACAACAAACAGCCCTTGAGCTGCAGGTACTAGTGCCTGACAGACAACCCTGTTAGCTGCCAGGCCAGCTGCCCACTCAACAAGGCTCCACTGAGCAGTAAGCTATTCACAGGACACTACCTGCTGCTCCAGCCTCACCACGTCCCTGTTATTGAGATGGTCACACATTTGCCCATCCCCTTCCTCCTGCAGAGCTGTTTCCCAGGGCTGCTCTAACCAAATGCCTCGGGAGGCTTGAGCATTTATACCGAGCATGGTGTGGGAGATGGGGAAGGTGATGGTTGGTCGCCCAGTCATCCTCCACCGACTGCACAGGTAGGAGAGGTCCGTCCTCACCATCTCCACAATCATCTTGTTGTCAAGAGCCAGGTAGAACTGCTGCTGGTCTATGAACTGTGAGGACAACACAATACATGATTGGCCCTGCATGCAGCCACCAGGTCCTTATGGTGCCACCTCTGTCCTCCCACAGACACACAGCCAAGCTAGCCATGCTGTGCACCCAGAGGACATGAACCTGCCTTTGCACTGACAGCTCATCCCACCTTACTCAGCAGGTGTTGTACAGCCTAGCAAGGGACCCTCAACCCCCAGGGCAGCTACTGGCCACTAACAACTATGGGGATGTACCTAGCACCACAGCTCAGCAGCAGCAGCATCCAGCCCCACGCAGTGAGTCCATGTTGTGCCTGTTCCAAGTGAATATGTACTCCCCATAATTCTAGGCTCGGATCACTGCTTGTCCCCTGGACACATGTCCCTGGTTTGCCACCAGCATCCTCCTGGTGTCCTCATCAGCGTGAGCAGAGATTTTCATCCAACACTGATCATTAAAAGGCTCAAACTGTCCCAACATCCACACAGTCACAACCATCAACTGTGCTGCCTCATGCCACAGAGCTGGACTACTCCATACTCCCAGGCTGTTTAGAGAGTGCTGGGTCACACCTTAGAGTGTGTACCTTAGAATGAGTACCCAGCCACTGAAGAAACTTCCTGCCCAGTTTCATACCACAGAATAGCTAGGAATAAGCCTCTGCAATGTCACTCACCTGTGGGGTAAAGGTAAAGATGCTCCTCCTGATTTTGTAGAGCTTGGAGGTCCCAAGGACACCCATATGCCGGTAGGGCCGTCCAGTAAGGCACATCTGCTTGTTGCGGCCTGGGAGGGCAGGAAGAGGAGTTTTCAGTACAAGCCTTCTCATGAAAGGGGCTGCAGCAGCAAGTAGTGCCAAGCATCTTGCTACTGGCCAGCAGGGAAATGCTGGTTTGAAGTTGGGATATCCCAGAACCCTGTGTCAAGCTGGTACAGTTCTAAGGGACAGGAATTCTCTGTCCCCAGTCCTGCCCAGAGGGGTAGAGACATGCTGAAATAGCGATACACAGCCTGTCCTGATTTCTGCAGCGTCACAGCTTCTGGTCTTTGGCCACACCAGAAGCAGGAGCAGGGCTAGGGGTGCCCCTCTGCATAGGGCTGACCCTCCTAAGTTGACAGTTCTATCAGCATTCCAGTTGCTCCTGGATTACTCCCAAAGCCCAGGATGGTGCAGCAACAGCATTACCCCTTGCTTGTCAGCTCTGGCAGCTGCCAGGCTGCTCCTCCTGCCCATGTCACACTTGGCCTTTTGGTGACCTAAATTAGCTGCCAAACTAAATCACAACAGATCAGGTGTCTCCTTCAGCCCAGGCTAAATCTCTGGCTCCTGAAAAACAAACCCCATGCCTGAGGGCTTGCAGCATCAAGGAGCAAGCATGCAGAGGTGAGCACATCCTCCCTTCACCCCTAGCCCTGCCCACCCACCAGCAACAGCCACACTGCCTGAGCTCTGAGCTCTCTGCCAGGGACAGCCAGAGGACCCTTCCTGGGATCTAGCTAGCCTCCCCCATCCAGATTTGAGTTCAGGAACAGAAGACAACTCCTGCCCACGTGAGGTTCAACATCTGTCAGAGTCTTTTGTCTCTTCCTGGGGTGACTGTACAACTGCAAGCCAAAGCTCTATTCCTGTCAGAATCACACTGAACAACACTGTCTGTTACTTTGTTCCTGTTTAGCATCAGCGGCTTTATCAGGCCTAGAAAAGGGCAGAATCTTCATCAGCCAAGCAGAGAGCAGGACACAAGTGTCTATGAGCAGGAGCACCAGGGGTGCACCCCGTTTGCTGCAGGAGCAGGGAGCCCAGCTCACCCAGCCGGGCATAGATGTGGCTGAGGATGCGAGCAGGCTGCACTCTGATGGGGTAGACATCTGCCACAGTCTCCACGTTAATGCCCTCCTTCTGCAGGATTGCCTTGATCCCCTCTGTTTCAGCCAGGATACACACTGTGGATGAAGACAGTATCAGCACAACAGAGGCACAAGGGTGTGACAGCACTGCCCCATGCCTTTGGGCACACATACAAGGCACCCCACCACAGAGAATAAGCTGTCTGGTGTCCCTTAGGAACCAGTTCCCACTGCAGAAGCCTGCTTTGCCCCTCCTAACACTCTATACACACAAAAGTCTTCCTCAACAAGTGGCAGGAAGAGAGTTTTCAGCCTCTCTGTAGAGGAGGCTGCAGCAGATGATAGTTTTGTGGATCAACACAGGATGAAATGGAAGGACTTGCACCCCGTCTTCCACCCACCTTGCCAGGGCTGAGACTGGGCTGTACTGGCAGCAGCCCATCAAGCAGAGCCACCCCAGAGACACCTCTGTGAATTCTGCACAGCCAGAGTCCTCCCCACCTGCCAGGCTCAGGGCTTTGGGACTGGTTCCTTTCCCTCACCTTGGACCACCACATCAGGTTTAGGGACAGTTGCGAAACGGCGGTTGAGGGGATCTATTTCACCGGGAGCTAGAAACCCCTGTGGGAAAAAACGTATAAAGAGATTAACATTTTACAGGCAGGGTAGAATGGGAGATGCCTACGGACAACCCACCTTTATGAGATCCTGGGGGATGGAGGTGACAACTTCCCCACGGTGGGTGGCAGCATTTGCACCTTCACAGCTCAGAGCCTGGTCCCACAGCCCTCCCCAGCACCCAGGGTGACCCTACCTCGGCCATCAGACAGCCCAGGATGTAGAGGGACTGTCCCCACATGTGTGGCAGCTTGCCCATGGGTATCCTGTCCACAGTGTGCGGATTCCTGTATTCTTCATCCACCTGAAAGACAAGCCAGGAGATCAAGAAGGGATCCATAGTCACAGGATGCTGAAGGAAGCATCCTCACTGCATCCTGAAGTTCAGCAGTTCAAGGCTTAAAACAAGGCCCAACAACAGCATTTGTCACAGAGAGTCCAGAAGAGCCAGGTTACATTCCTCCTCTCTTCTTATGACAGCCCCAGGCATCCATGTCAGACAACGGAGCAGCTGCTCAAACCATGTTTGGTTTCTCAGCTTGGGCCATCCCACTAGAACTGACGTGCCCCAGGAGCACCCAGAGATGCTTTCTGATACTGGTGAAGAGCACATCTCTCCTGGATGACCTGAGCACCAGGAGGTCACTGCTCTTAGCCCAGGCCCACACAAATTCCCTAAACACTGAACTGGAGCTCAGCACCACCTACTCAGCCCAGGTCTGCTTGTCCTGAGCTCTCGGAGCACTCAGTCTCTGAGCAAGGAGACTGTCAGCAAAGATCTCATGTGTGGGAGCAAGAAATGCTTTGGGAGAAAAACCCCAATTTTTATCAGTTTCATAACAACTCCAAGTCATCCTTTTTATACATCAGGCTTCCATGCCCTACATGTGCCCTTTCGCTAACAATTTGGCTTAATAAGCACTTAAAACTTAATTATCTGATAATGAGACCAGGAGTTTCGGCACTGGACTTTCATGATCCTTGTGGGTCCCTTCCAAATCAGAATATCCTGTGATTCTGTAAGACACTCCTGCTTCCCACCATAGCTCAGGATCACTCACCTTATCCGGTGGGACACTGTACAGCTCTGGCAGCAGGCGTACCCCATTCTTCCCCTTGATAAGAACCCCCTCAAGGGCTTCCCGGTACTCCTGCACCTGAGAAGAGAGGAGAGGAAATCTGCTGCCAGCTCCCTTCTTCCTTCCTCCACATGCTTCTCCTGCCAGGGACTTTTTTCCACTAGCCCAGCAGGTCTCACTTCTCTTACCTGCTCCATGTTTCCACTGAAAATCCCATCAATCATCAAGTATGCCCAGAAGAGAGGCCACTCACACTCAATGTTCTCAAAGAGCTTCAGCTCAGCAGGTTCGTAGTAGAGGCGTTTGGGGTCCTGTAAGTGACATCAAGGCAGGTGGTACGTAACAGGATATCCTCAAACTGACACCCTGAGACCCTCGCCTCAAATGTCCTCCCAGCCCTTCTCTGCAGACGGCCAAGGAAGAGCTGGAAAGCAGTTTCACCTCCAGTCTCTGTTTTCTCCATTGGACTACCTCCTCCTGAGCCCCCTGCACTGATAATGGAGAGACTTACCCTTCCTGGGGTCTACCTGGTCCCCAGCAGACACCCCAGAACACCCCAGACATTGTGCTGTTGTACAGCAACAGCACAACATCCCCTGTGCCGTGCTGGGTCCCCTTTGCCTTGCCTGCTCTCCCTGAGCCTCTCAGCATCTGTCTCCTCCAGCACATCAAGCTGGCCCAGCAGGTGAGAGGGCTTGGGCTGGTCACACAGGGCCAGAGAGGTTCTTTCACGGCCCTCATGCGTGCCACTGTGAGCCCAGCACAAGGGAAGTTGTCAGGATGAAGAGCTGCCTGCACAGAGTCCTCCCACCACAGTTCTGTGTGGTGTAGTGCCCTTTCTTTGACCCTCCCTGCTCACCGCTCTGTCTGCTGCAGAGAGGGGAGTGTTGGCCTTAGCAGACTACTCAGGCAGAGAGGACAGAAGGAGCAGATATCTTCTACCTGGACTCCAGCCATAAGCTTCCAAAATCCCATCTGACTACAGCTAGCTGCATGCCTCTGCAGGCACTGCTGTCCTTTCCATGCCTCACAGCTGCCCAGAAGTAAGTAATCCACAACCCTGCATGCTGCCAAAGCTCATAAGCACTGGGAACACTGGACTGGAGATGCTGCTGCTTCTCTCTGGCTCTGGAGGAGCAGCAGCCACACATACTGCCTCTTACGGGCAGGTCTGCAGAGGTGCAGCAAAGGAGAAGCATTCAGAAGTACTCATGACAGGCACAGCAGCTGGCCATGACTTAAGAGCCTCTGAGTATCTTTCCTGAGTTCAGTGGTTAACAAATGAGACTGCTTCTTATAAAATTTTCCTGTTTTCTCTCCCCAAAGCAGCAAACGCTCCACTTGCTCGCAGGGCCATTCTGACAGTACCCAAGCTGACTGCTGGTCTAGGACAGACAGAAGCAGTTTTGTGACCTCCAGAGCTACCATAGATGAGGCTGCTGGGTAGCGGCTCTGCAGTCACCTCCCCAGGCCCTGGGAGAGCCCAGCTCAGCAGAGTTCCCATGGTGGGCGCTGGTCCCACCTTCCACCAGACACACCACCCAGGATACAGGCAGAGCCATCTGTTATGGGTGTGGGTGGGACGTACCACCTCTCCAATGAGCTCTGGCACTTTGGGGAGCCTTGCCCAGACCCGTGACACTGCCTGGGGCTACTCAGGGCTCTTGTCTTGCCAGTGCTCCCCAACACAGCTGCATCCAGGTGGGCTGCAGCTTGGCAGGCAAGTTCTGCCAGGCAGCAAGGCTGAGGACATTCACCTCTTTGGGAGTCCTGTATCCATCCCGGAGGAAGCGGCAGCAGCCATAGCGCCCCTGGAAGGGAGGGAAAGATTTGCTGAGCAGGAGGCAGTGTGAAATATCTTGTACCTTCAATGCAGACACAGGAGCAGTTTGTTTCCTTCAGCCAAACCCCCCCTCCCTCACTCACCCAGCACTCAGGTACCACAGTACAGTCTAGGGCCACAGCACACAGGGCTGCTTCTTTGCACACCCCTGCCACAGAATCATGGGAGACTAGGACAGGACATGCCCCAGCCACCCCCCAGGGAACATGGTTTTGGGAAAAAAGGGCTACAGCAGTCTGGACTGCAGTTGTCTTCCTGGGAACAGTGAGACAAGGGCAGAGATGCTCACCTGCAGCTTGGTGATAATCTCCTGCTTGGTGATTTCTACCAGCTCGCTGTCCTCCACAGCAAATGCCGGGTAGGAGATGACAGAGAGCACGCTGGCATCCACCTCCTTGGATGTGGAGGCCCTGGGCAGCATTGAGTGGAGGATCGACTGGGCAAAGGGGAAGGAAGGTGGTTAGGCTGTCAGGCCAGGCATCGTTCACACTTGCAAACCCAATAGATCACAGTTCCTCCTGCAGCAGTGTAACACCTGAGTCACCTCACCTGGCAGTGCTGCACCTCATCTGACAGCACCCGTATCACCGACTGCGGGCCTCCCTTGGCTCCAAAGAGATCCAGCTCATCCAGTGCCTCCAGGGCAGCCTGCAAGCAGGGTGAGACCCACACAGACACGTCCTTCACCATGCTGCTCATCTGTAAGAGCTCTCATTCCATGCTAGTCCCTGTGTATGAAGCACTGCCCAAATTTAAAAGAATTTGAACCCTGCGGTGGCTGCAGAACATATCTGGTCAAAATGGGACATCTCCAGACAACAAAAGGGCCTGAGACATTTCTGCCACACAGCTTTGATTAACTTTTCTCTCTCAGTTCAGGCAAAACCCAGGTTAGAAGGGCACAGTTTTATTCCAGCAAACAAGATAGGTTCCCCAGGACCCTATCACTGCATTGAGCCTCAGCAGTTCAACATTCCCAGCCTGCTCTGTCAAAAAGCAGCTCAGGGCCACTGGTGCTCCTCATCCCACCAGCCAGCATTGCTTCCCAGCTCACCTTGGCCATGCCGACAGAACTGGCATTCAGCTCGGTGATGCCTTGGTTTGTCTTGTCCCCACGCTCCCATATGCCAAAGTCCTGTGAACCAGGCACTGTTTCAGAACACACCCAGAAAGCCTTTGAATCCCACCCATCCATGGTGCTTCCAGAAGGTGCTGGTGTGGCTCAGGTGGAACCCACAGCCTTTCCTAGACACCAGTCCAGTATCTCCACCATCAGAGCATACCCCTCTTCCCCAGCACGTTACCCACCGCAGTTTTGTAGGCAGCTTCAATGTAGAACACAAGGTTCTGGATAAAGTTGACTTCATCCAAGCTGTGAATTATGTGGAGGCCTAAAGCAGAGGGAAGAGCTCACACTAGCTGCTCCAATTCCACAAGCATAACCAGGATGGGGCTGCAGTAACCCAGGGATGATTCCTCCCCTCTGCATGCCCGCCCAACGGGAGCTATGTCCTAGCTGGCTCCATCTCCACTCCCACTCCTTACAGCAGCACTGGGGCTTCAGACAAACAGGGGCTTTTGGAGAGACTGACATCAAGGGGCCCAAAACCACCTCAGGTACTGTGAGCATAAGGGACAGTGGAGGGGACAGTCATGGAAGCCATTGGCACCCAGAAAGCTGCACCCAAACTGAGACTCTGGTGAACCTGAAGAGTAGCACACTCAAACTGCAATGGGAGCCCCCAGCATTACCTGAGGCCGTCATTTGTGCAAGCATGAGGAGGTAGAGGGAGGTAGCATCCATCTGTAGGTGACCCCATTCGTGATCTCCTACCACGGTAGCACAGGTGTGGGTGTTATACTTGGCATGCAGGCAGTCCCTGGTACTCTGACTGTACTTGAAGGCCTCTACCTTATCCACCTTGAGAAGGGCAAAGAGATGCAGGCATACATTGAACCCTGTCTCCAGAGAGATCTGACAGCTCCTGAGCCAAGGGCTGCCCCATGCCATGAGTGGAGCACAAATTCCACAACCCCTGGGCTGAGCCCCACTGTGCACCAAGGCAGTGAGTGCAGGCTCACATGCTGGTGCAGCAACAGGACTGCAATAATGGAGTTGCAGTCCTGCCACAGCTGCACCATGCAGAGAAAAGGGTTACCCCAAATGCCCTCAGCAGGGAGGAGCTGTAGAATCCTAGCACCTGCCAGGCCACAAGACAGGGAGCAGCTGGCAAAGGCTCCACTGGCTGCCAGCCCGCAGCTCAGGAACTTCAATCATACCCATGACAGATGCTCACTCAGAACTTACTTCAAGACTTGCTGGAAGGGAGCCTTCCCTCTGCTCATCAGGGGAGGCTGGGGAGGGCTGGAAGAGCTAGGAAATAGCCTCTGTGGCATAGCTGGGCTTTAAGGAGACCAAGTGACACTGAGAGGTTCTCCCCAGCTCCTACCTGTCTCATCATGCACTGGAGCAGCCCCTGCATCAGCTTCACCACGCTCTGCAGGAACAAGGAAAAGAGGTTTGTTACTCCCCAGAAGTCCTGACTCAGGATCAGCTGGCCGCTGACCTTTGCGGGGTTCAGTGTCCGTAATCAGAGCCCCTGCTCACATTTTCACAGCCCCTGGGTGACAGCAGAGGGAAGATTTCTTGGCCCGCCAGCAAGGCCAGGTTGCCAGGCTGCGCATGACAGAGGGCACGGCTGCAGGACATGGCTCCCCAGCCCCAGAGAAAAGGTCTGTGGCCCCAGATCACCCCAGAGCCAGAGCTCTAGACCCGCTGGTTGGGTTCCGGTGTGGTTTGAGAAGAGCGGGCTCTGACATCCATTCCCACCGCCTCCCGTGCGGGGGGACAGCCGCGTACCCGCCCTCCCGGCGCTGCCGTGGGCCCGGCCCCAGCCGGACTGTGCTGTGCAGACCGGGGTCACCGCCGCCCCCAGTGACACCGGTCCCGGCCCTGCTCACTCCCACCTGCTCCAGCTCGTAGGCCTTGGCCTTGTCCTCGTCGCGGTCGGCATTCTTGCGGTAGGCCAGGCCAAGGCCCCACACGGCCAGGATGCTGTACACGTTGTCCCGGACCCAGGCGTCCCGGTGCTCGGCGCTGGCGGGGAGCAGCCCGGTCACCGCGTCCTGCGGAGGGACACACCGCTCACACGGAGCTCCGCGGCCCAGCGCCGGGGCCCCGGCTCTGCTCCTCATCCCGGGCAGGCTCCGACCTGGTGGCGGAGGATGGTCTGCTGCACCAGGCGCCCGTAGCCGTCCAGACGCACACCCGAGTTGCTCCGGCTCCTCATGACGGCGGCAGCAGGACCGGCACCACCACGGGCACCGGCGGGACTGCACGGGTCCTGTCAGAGCCCCGCCCCGCTCCGCCCCGCGGCACCGCCTGCTCGCTGCCGCCGGCGGCGGGGCCCGAGCGCCGCTACAGCCCCTGAGCGGCCGCCGCAGCCGCCGTGCCCCGCGCTCCGCTCTCCGCGCCCCCCGCCCCGCACTGCCGGGCGGGCGGGACCCGCGGCGCGGGGAGGCCCCAGGGCGGGGGCGGCGGCGTTCGGCGCCCCCTGCCGGGACAAGGCCGAATAGCGCTGAGTGTGGAGCCGCGGCTGCAAGGACGGACACACGGACAGACACACGGACACACGGACAGATACACGGATACATGGACAGACACACGGACAGACACAGGAACACACGGACAGACACACGGACAGACACGGATACATGGACAGACACACGGACAGACACGGATACAAGGACAGACACACGGACACATGGACAGGCACACGGACACATGGACGGACACACGGACACATGGACGGACACACGGACAGACACACGGACAGACACACGGACAGATACACGGACAGACACAGGGATACACGGACAGACACGGATACATGGACAGACACACGGACACATGCACGGACACATGCACGGACAGACACACGGACAGACACACGGACACAAGGACAGACACATGGACACAAGGACAAACACATGGACCGAGACACAGATACAAGGACAGATACACGGACAGACACACGGATACATGGGTGGGCACACGGATAGAAGGACAGACACATGGACAAAAGGACAGACACACAGATACAAGGACAGACACACGGGCAGACACACGGATATATGGGTGGGCACACGGATACAAGGACAGACATACGGACACAAGGACAGACACATGGACAGACACACAGATACATGGGTGGGCACACGGATAGAAGGACAGACACATGGACACAAGGACAGACACACGGACAGACACACAGATACAAGGACAGACACACGGGCAGACACACGGATATATGGGTGGGCACACGGATACAAGGACAGACATACGGACACAAGGACAGACACAAGGACAGACACACGGATACAAGGACAGTCACATGGACACAAGGACAGACACATGGACACAAGGACAGACACACGGACACAAGGACAGTCACACGGACAGACACACGGACACAAGGACAGACACACGGATATATGGGCGGGCACACAGACACAAGGACAGACACACGGATATATGGGTGGGCACACGGACACAAGGACAGACGCACGGATATATGGGCGGGCACACGGATAAAAGGACAGACACACGGACACACAGACAGACGCACGGATATATGGGCGGGCACACGGCCACACGCACAGATACTCGGATACAGGACAGGGGTGCAGAGGCACGGGTACCTGTGCCGGTGAGGAACAGATACACGGACTGGTGTGTGGTGTGGCGCAGGGACGCACGGATGGGTTCACATACGGGTGTGAGACTGTACAGACAGACAGACAGACACACAGATAGGTACACACACCGGTGTGGGTCTGTATGGACACGTGCACCTATGGACATTCATGGTGTGCAAACCGGTGGGTACCTACAGGTACGCTCACCTAGAAGCACACACACACACTTCCCATGCACATACACAGTCACACACTTGCACACACACACAGAGGCATACACTGCATGCACCTGTGTGCAGAGGTGTGGGCACACACGTGCTCCATACAGATGTGCACCCACACAAGCGCACCAGCAGGCTCCTGAAGACCAGCACGCCTCATCCTGGGGACTCCTCTGGGCAGGTGGGGGACAAGTGGGTGCTGTGTCAGACTCTGCGGCTGTTAGGTGAGAGACAGGAGCCCGCAGGTGCCATGTGCCACCCTGAGGCACACATGACCCTGTCATCCATGTAACCTGCCTTGGCACAGCTGAACATGGACAAGAAGGTGCTGAATGTGGGCAGGGTGCATTAGGTTTATTTTCTGTGCAGAGCATCTGGAGCAGCCCAGCCACAGCATGGCCCCAGGGAGCTCAGCAGCACAGTCCCCCCTGGCCCAGCCCACAGGACTGCAGGAGAGTCCTGTCCCAGCAGTGTGTGCACGCTGTCCCTTGGTCTCTGGGGATCCCAGTGCACTGTGGACATTTCTGGGGATGCTAGTGGCTGTCAGCACTCATACTGTGGTGGGGCACACACCCAGCCCTGTGGGGCAGAGCAGCCATGAGCACTGTGTGTGTGCCAGCAGTGGGCTCCCAGGGGTCTGCTGCTCTCCATCCTCTAGAAGGGTGTTGCATGGGGCATGTGGGGGGGCACGTGCCCCCCACCCTCTGGGGCTCCTGGGACACCCAGAGGGGCAGAAGGATTCCCCACTCATCACTGAGATGTGGCTAACTAGGGACAAGGGGCAAGACAGAACCTGGAGCTCTGTGGTTTCTCACTCTTCCAGGATGGGAAAAAATCTTTGAGACTAGCAGGAAAGGGAGGGATTGGAGTTGACAGCATCCCATCTAACAGCAAACACGGGAGAAATAAAATTGCTGAAACATCCCCATGGAGCTTGGGCCAGCAATAACAGATGGGGCTGGACCCCAAGCAAGAGGAGACCCTGGCAAGAGCATGAGCTGTGGAGAAAGAGTACCCAGATGACAGTGCCCCCCAGCTCTAGTGCCAAGGATGATGACTGCCACCTATACCTTGCTGCTCAATGAATGGAAATTTTCCTCCAACATTGCAAACAGGGCACCATTTCCAGCAACAGTCAGGTTTGTTTACAGATACCTACACACAATAGCCCCAGCAGAGAAATGCCTTGGCTGTGGTGACAGACAGCCCCAGGAGACCTGGCTCATTGCCCCTCCAGGGTCCCCTAGGACTTTCCCCATACAGAGGGATGCAGGGCATCTCTCATTCCCAGCCCCATGAAGACAGCTGCCTGCAGCCACATCTCCTCTGCACTAGGGTAGGTCAATGCTCCTGGGGAGGCACTTCTCATAGGCCCTGCTTGAACCAGCTGGGATTTACCCCCACACCCACCCCCTCCAGTGAAAGCACAAGGGCAATTGCACAGGGATACAGCCCATGGCAGCCTAACCCAGGGGGCACCTGCTGCACCCCGGGGACAACGCAAGAACAGGCCAAGATGGTCTTTAGCAAAATCAATCAATTTATTTATTCACAGTCAAGAAATAAATAGAGAAAAATCAGGCAGCAGGGGTGCTGAGAGCAGGACTGACCCTTCTGGGAACAGGGACATTCCAGGAGCCCAGCAGAACCCAAGGCCTGTGTGACAACAAGAGTGCAAGAAGGTAGAGAAACATCTGCAATAGGAATCTGAACTCTGGGAAGGAGACCTGAGCCCTGCTAGAGGGCAATCCAAGGAGCTGAACAAGTGTGTCAGAGGAAACAGCAGGCAGAGCCCAGCACAGGCAGCTGCCTTGGCCTCTAGCACTGGAAGCAGAGATGGCAGCTCAGGTCCCTCCAGCTTTTCATAGCCCTTCCAAAGCAGAACTTCAGGGGAGGAGAGAGGCTTCCTCCCTCCAGCCCAAATTCTCAGCTTGGTGAGATGCCTCTGCAGCTGAGACTAGATAGGGATGGGGTGCATGTGAGTTGGGAAGGAATGCCACAAGCAGAGTCACATCAGATCCTGACACCACCAATGTGTCAGATACAAAGCACAGAGACACCTGGACTTGTTACCCTCCCTGCCCTCGCTCCACCAGGAGACGCCCAGCCACCTCCTAAGAGCTTCATACTCCAGTTTAGGACACAGCTCATATCTGAGAACATCAGGCCAAGCCCCCCTGCCCACCAAACCAGGCAGCAGCCATGGGGGCTGCAGGAAGGACAGATGCAATGGGGCAACAACCCCAGCACAGGTTCCTGCCTTTAAAAACCCACAATTTACATAAAACTGTCATTGTAAAACCTCCCCACGGAGCAGCACGGGGAGTGGAGATGAGCCAAGTGAGTCCCAGGTAGAGCAAGATAAATGCTAAAGTCCAGATCTGCAGGAAGAGGCAGAGCCCAGGGGTGATGTGCTGGGGCAGTGGAAATTACCGGCAAGTGCAGGACTCTGCAATCATGTTCTCAAACTCCTTGTACAGTATGCCTCCATTGCGCTCAATCATGAGGACACTGATGGGGCTGTAGCGATAGGGCACACAGGAGGGCCGGGGCACGTTGGCATCCACAAGCTGATGCACAAAACTCTGCACCACAGCATGGTTGGGTGCGTGGTAGTCATAGCGGAGCAGGTGGGGACAGGTGCCCTTGCAGTAGCGTGGGTTGTAGCGGTGAGGAGCGATGATCCAGTGGTCCCAGCCCAGCTGAGCAAAACTGACAGGGAAGGAGTGGAGGGAACAGTCACTCTTCTCCCCTCCCTGCTCCCGCAGGTAGCTGGGCAGGTCATGAGCCAGTGTCCCTGTATCACGTCGGTGCCGGTGGGGCTCTGCTGACGGAGGTGCCAACCCTGCCTGGGTATCGTTAAGGTAGAGAAGGAGGAAAGGGTGGCCAGGGGCCACTGAGGCATTGTGGCCTCCTGCTCGGCCAGCACGCACACAGACATGCTGCAGTGCCAGGCTCCCCACGCTGCTGTTCCCCAGCACCAGATAAGGGGTGACATCAACTTCAGCCCAGCCACGGCGGGGACGGGCAGTAGGGCTGAGCACCCTGGGTGCCTCGTCAGCTGTTACCAGCTCCAGAGTGCAGAGGAGGTGACCATGGGCCAGTGACAGACTGGGCAGGTAAACCACAGTAGCCCTGAGGAGGTGCTCAGCCTCCGGCTGGCTCTCCACGTGGTAGGTGAGGGCCTGCAAATACCGCTGACCTGCAGGGAAGCAGTACCCTGTTAGCATAGTGCAGGAGGCACTGTGCAGCACCCCTTCCTCTCATGGTGCTGCCACAGCACAGCAGAGCCTGTGACAGCCATCTGCCCCAGCACAAGGCAGAAGCTGCAGCAAACAGAAGCCATGCAGAGTCTGTAACATTTCCCATCCTCTGCACCAACACCGCTAGCCTGGCAGAGCATCAGGAAGAGTGGGAAGGAGAGAAGGGCACACAAGGGCCAGCTATGCATTTGCCCATCTCACCCCTGGGGCAGAGCCTCGGATTCCTGCCAAGTGGAACCCCATGGCCAAGAGCAACCCCAGCCAGGACACTGCAGAGAGGGGGAAGGCAGCAGGCAAGAGAGCTCACCTTCAGAGCTCAAGGCCACCCTGCTAGCTCTGCTAAGCACCCACGCCACCCTTAGTGTCAGCGGTTCCTTACCTGCCCAGGGCTGACCCCCATGGGAAGTGGCCTGGACCAGGCGGATGGTGTTGGTGCCGAGGCTGCGGCTGCGGCGGGGTCGGCCTTCGGGGTCAGCAGCACGCCGGTACAGACTCAGCATGTAGCGCAGGGGCTGCCCACTGGCTGGCCTCACTTGCCAGCCTGGGCCACCTGGAGCCCGTGTTTGCAGGGCCTGCAGGAGGGGCAGGGTGGGGACAGCAGGCAGGGAGCCAAGGGGCACTAGGGACTGGTTTGCAGCCTGGGAAAGGGGCTCAACATAGAGGAGGAGGAGGAGGCTGGTGAAAGGGTAGAGCATAGCCATGATAGGTGAGTGTCAGGAGCAGGTAAGAGGAACAAGGTGGGGATGGCCAGCAGAAGAATTAGGAAGAGCCTGCAGTCATGCTTCTCCTCACTTGAGAGGCAGAGTTGACTGTGGGCAGCAGCAAAAGGATCCCAGGGTGCTTCCAGCTCCTATCAAAACAGGACAACCACACCAGCTGCTTCAGATTGACACAGGTACAGAAAGGTGGGGAGAATCTGTATGTAAAAAGGGGTACAAATTCCAGACTAAAAGCCAGACCAGGAGCAAAGCTAGCCCAGCAGAGCCTGGCTATGGGAGCTGTAAAGGTGCTGGGGTAGGGGAGTGGGGTGAAGTGGGGAGGGAAAACCAGCTCATTCAGCTCACCTGCTCCTGGCTCAGCCTCCTCCTATGGGGTAGCAGGTGCTTGCCCAGGCCCATTTTAAAGGCATGGACTCAATCAGGTCTTAAAGGGGCAGGAGCTCCCTGGCTCCCAGGGGAATGGGACCAGATAGAGGCTGAGATGGTGCTTTCATGCAATGAGAGTCACTCCAGCTCCCTCCACTCTGTGCTGACTCTCCAGCAGTGGCTCATCACCTTCGTGCCCATCGCTGCAAGCTGGTCTGCACTGCCCCAAGCAGGCACAGAGCCTGGGGTTCTGCTCCCCAACATCCCCGCAGCACAGCCAGGCTGCCCAGTGCCTCACTCTATCCCGCTGGCACTGAGACCCGTGGGTGAGCAGAGTGACCCTGAGCCCAGCAGTGCTAAGTATTTCTGGGTAAGCCAGCAGTACCACACTGTAGGCATCATCCCGTCACCAATACCAGCATGCCCGCAACTTTGCCCCTGCCTTGACCAGTTTCCAGATGTTTCTGCCAGCATCTGCTCAAAGCCAAGAGGTGAGCATGATGCCCACCCTCTCGCTGGCCATTCGAGCCCATTTCTGTACTGGGGACAGTGACTCCATGGTGCTTGCCTGGGAAAGGCCCTCTGGGCACACTACAGTGCAGTGTGGGCAGCTGCAGCCAGTGCCACCTCCAGAGCCCCTGGTGTTGTGCCCAGACCCACAGTACACTGTTGCTCTCCTGCTGGGATGGAAGTGGCCAGGGGGTGAGCACACTGGCTGGGAATCACTGGTGCAGGCACAGGGACGTGGGGAGAGCTGGGAGGGTTGTACTGTTGTCTGCTGCCCACCCTTCCTGGTGCCAGCTGGGCACAGTGCTAAGGGCTGGGAGGGCTGTGTGGAGGTGTGTGTGGTGCTAAACGTGATGAGCCAGGGCACAGGAGCCCTCTTGCCTGGCCAGGCAGCCCTGGTTACTCATTTGGGAAAGCACACAAGGGGCAGATGTGCCAGTGAAGGTTGGGAAAAGTCTGGGCATGGCAGCAGCCAGTCATGATTTGGGGGCATTACAAGGCAGGTGGGAAGGCCATAGGGGAGAGCAGGAGATTTGGGTCAGGGTGGACATGTCAGGGCTGTATGGGGGGAGCCATGCATCTCTCCTGGGTGGGCTCTAGCACTACAAATAGCCCAGGTACCACTTTATCCTGTGACATCCTGGCTGTACTGGTCTGACTGCAGCTGGGCTGCACAGGGAGCAGGCAGAGTTCAAGGCAGGTGCTTGTGGACATGGAATACCAAGAAAAATTTGAGATCATTCCAGCACTGGGAATGAACCAGCCTGTCACTGCAAGCTGACCCTCCCAGGCCGTGGCAGGCAACCAGGGGCTGCAGATGCTGCTTGCAGAGCAGAGCTTTCCAGGCCGGCTGGGGTGTCTGGGAAGGAGATGAGTAAGAGTCGTGGCCCCAGGCGGGAAGGGGAGGAGCAGGACTCTCGGGTTCCCCCGGGAATCCACGCAGATCCACTCCCACCATCCCCAGCTGCCATCGCCGGCTCTTCCCCTTGCCTCAATTTCCCTCAAGGGGTACAGCTGCTTCTCCTGTGCCTGGCAGGGAAAAGACAAAGGTGAAGAACGGCCAAACTGCCAGGCACACCCTAAGGTGCCCGGCAGGATATGGACGGGGTGGGGGCTGGCATGGGTAAGTCAGACAGGAGCCAGCAGCATGTGCTGGCCTGCAGGCAGTGGAGCTTGGGCCACCAGTGTGACTACATGGTGGGGAGCTGGGGGACCTGCATCACCCTACTGCCACCCCCTCGTACCCACCGGAGTGCTCTTGAACTGCCACCGTGCCAGGCCAAGCTGAGCAGAGCAGGCCCTGTTGGTGTGGGTTCCTGGTGGCACCATACTGTGCTGAACCCAGCTGGGTCATTTTGAGCTGAGCCTGTGCATGGTCAAGCTAAGTCAAGCCAGGCCAGGCTCTGCTGAGCTGAACTGTGCCAGCCCTGCTTGTCCAAGTCAACCAAGCTGAACTGCACTGAACGAAACTGGGCCAGGCCAAGTGGAGTTAAGCCAGATGAGGCCCCTGGTTGTTCTGTGCTGTACCAGACTTAACTTTGCCAGCACTGTGTCATGTTGAGCTGAGCTGAGCCAAGCCAGAATGTGCCAACCCAGCTGAACTGCACCGAGGCATGCCAGGCTGAGCCATGCTGGGCCAGTTAACCCGTACTAGCCCCCCTGCCTGAGCTGAGCCGTGCTGTATCATGCCGCACTGAGGTCAGCCAGCCTTCCCTATCATGCCATGCTGGGTTGAGCCGGACTGAAGAGAAGTACGCCGGCTGGGCTGTACCGAGATGAGCCAAGCAGCTCACTTCGGGTCCCTGGGCTAAAGGACGGCATGCCAAGGTACTGAGCAGAAAGGCGCCGTGCCGTGCCATTGTGTGCAGAGCCGTGCCACGAGCCGTGCCGTGCCGTGCCGAGCCGGCCGCCGCCGTCCCCCCGCGCCTCATTGGCGGCGGCGGAGCAGTCCCGGTGCGGGGCGGCCCCGCCCCGCACTCGCCCCGCGCCGCTCAGCCCGGGCGGGCGGGGGTGTCATTTCCTCCGGAGCTCGGGGCCGGGCCGGGATGGGGCTGTAGCTGCAGCCGCCATGGAGCGGGCCGAGGGCCGGCCCGGCGCCCCCCAGTACGTGCATGTGCAGCTGCAGGGGGGCGCGCCCTGGGGCTTCACGCTGCGCGGCGGGCTGGAGCACGGCGAGCCCCTCATCGTCTCCAAGGTGGGAATCGCCGGCACCGTCCCGCGTGGGCTCCGCGACATCCCCCCGCGAGGGGCCTCCCGCCCGTGGCGGGGCGCGGGAGACGGGAGGGGAGACGGGAGGACAGCCGGGGCGCGGCGGTGCCGGGGGTGCGGGGAGCCCCGGCCACGGGCTCTCGTGTCCCGGCGCGGCGGGACGGGGGCGGCCGCTCGCACCTACGATCTCCGCGGCCCTCCGCTGAGAGCCGCGGTGGAGAGTGAGAGCGAGAGGGGCGGAGGGACAGCCCGGGCCCGGCGGCAGGAAGAAATTCCTCTGGCACATCCGTTGGGCTGGCGTCGGGGGCGGCCCCCACATTCCCTCTCACGTCTTTCCCGGTCCCGTCCCGCGGGCTGTAGTCGGGGGAGGTCAGCCCCCTGTGTGCCCGTCTGTCGGTGCCGCGCCCACGGGCGTCCCGGGCACCGGACTCTGCGGGGACATTTAGGGCCACGGTGGGGGAGCCAGAGTCCGGCCCGTCATGCCCCGGCACCCCTGGAACGCGGGGGTAGGACCGTGCCCGGGACGGGGCTGGCGCCGGGGTGCGATGCCGAGCGGAGCCCGGCCGCAGCCGGCAGCGAGCGCTGAGCGTGAGCCCTGCGGCCCCGACGTCTGGGCACACAGAGGGGCACCGATTCCCGCGGGGAGACCCGCAGGCAGCAGGGCAGCGCCAGGGGAGCTCCAACAGCCACCCCTCCACGGAGCTCGGACGGGGGGGCCCTGTCGCCGGACGATTTGGCCGCTTGCCCGCCCGGTGTCACAGTCCTGCCGAGCCGGGGTGCGGCGGGCCGGGCTGGCGGCCCCGGGGCTCTCCCTGCCTCGAGCCGCGCCGACTGCGCCCCCGGGCCGCTCCACGCCCTCGGCGGGACGCGGGCAGCGCGGTCTGGCTGGGGGAGCTGGAAAAGTGGCTCCGGTCCCAGCCCTGCGCCCTGAGGTGGCCCCGCCGGCGGGTGGGGAGCCGGGCGCCGAGGGAGTAACTGCCCGCGTCCCGACTCGCTCTGCCCTTCGGGGTGCGGGTCCCCGCGGCCCCGCCGCTGGCCGGAGGAGGGGATGGATGCTCCTCGCCACTTTGGAGAAGGGGGTTGGCTTGCGGGCCGCGGGGTGTCGGCCCCCGCGCTCCCACGGACACGCCGCCACCGCGTGTGCTCGGCAGACAAAAGGGGGCTTGTTCCAGCGCTCTGCATTCAGGGGAGGGTCCCCCGGGGTCACCGCTGCGGCCGGCCGAGGTGTGTGCGGAGAGGGGCGGCCCGAGGCGCGGGGGGCGCGGGCCGGAAAGAGGAAGGGCGTCCCCACACTCGGTGACAGAGTTTGGCCAGGGCAGAATCCTTTTCTGTGGCAGTCCCACGGCGGTGCTCAGACGCGCTCTTAAGCCTTCCATGGGGCTGCAAATACCCTCCCTGAGCACGTCAGGGACAGGGAGGGAGGTTGGTGTGGGGCAGGGTGAGCACAGCTCTGGCACTGTTCTGGTTGTGATTCCTCAGACAAGTTTCTCCCGAGACAGTCAGACATTCCCCTAAGCCATCTGGTGCCCACCATTAGGGCCCGGAGCAAACTCCAGGGATGGTGTTCGGGAAGTGTCCTGGGCTGGCTCAGCCAGGCAGGGCAGCAGGCGGTGGTGTTTGCCAGCCAGTGCTGAGTTCACTGGTGGCAAAGGCAGAACAAGGGGCTGTTTGTGCCAAATTTAGCTCCTGGTGAGCGGTGCCAGGGCTGAGCCTTTCCATCCTAGTGCATGTGATGGCCCAGACATGGGTGCAGACCTGGTGGTGTCCTGCAGCAAGTGGGGGCACCTTTCACCTCTGACTCATCCCCATGGCAGTGGCAGGACTGGTGGGCACGTGTCTGGACAAAGGACTGAGGTGAAGGTGCAGCCTGCCTTGCACGCTCTGCTGGTGCCCGGTGGTGGGCAGCAGCATGGCAGGGGGTAAACCCAGGTGCTCCACCGACTGCATGGTAGAACTGGGAGTCCGCACAGGCAGTCAGGGTCCCCTGCCAGGAAGGCAGCCCCGTGGCTGACATCTGGGTAGGAGGGCAGTCTGCCTGCACAGGCAGGCACATTGGGCTGTGCCCAGCCTGGGTATGGCATCGTGGTGCTAAGATCCCTGGAAAAATGGGAGAGCTGTCAGTTCTGGGCACAGCTGTGCCAGGCAAAGCCATGGGGCAGTTGTGCACTGGGCAGGAGGCTTGGCTGCCCCTGCCTTCCTCCCTTCTAAGGTGACATTTTGTCCAGGGGTAGTGGAATGCTCCCTGAGCCCTGCTCGACATTAGGGCTGGAAAGTGGTGCTCAGGGGCACATGCACAATGACTGACCTGCCATGGGTGCTTCCTGGCACTGGGGCCTGGCTGCTGCCCAGACTGGTCCTGCAGACACTGTGAGCAGAGCTCATTCCTTGGCCAGGCCTGGGAGCAACTGGGTGGGGTGAAGAGCCCATGGGCAGGGTGGGTGCAGGAGCCCCAGCATGGGGCTAGGTTAGCTCTGCCCTAGAGGTGGCTATAGGGTCTTGCCACATCAGTGATAGGCATGGGCCACCCCAGGTCCTGCCCCATGCACCTGCATGTCCTGTGCTACTGCCACCATGCAGCAGCAGCTCCAGTCACTTGCCAGCCCTGTGGTGTGGACTTGGCGATCCCTGGCCATTGCAGCAGCAGGATGGGCAGAGATCAGTGCTGGCAATGGGCACTGCCTAGCCCAGCTGGGCACTGCTTGTACCAGGGCTGCCAGGACTGCACCTACCAGCTAGGGCAGAGAGCATGGGCCAGGATCTTGTGTGCTGGCAGCACAATGGTCATACTTCCTCTAAGCACATCAATACAGGGTGCCACATTCGTGTTGGACATGGGTGTCAGGGAGGGTAGGATTGTGCCAGGGCTCAGCACTTCCCCCGCTCTTGTCTCCTATGTGCACATAGGGTGGGATGGCATCCTTTGGGCATTGAAAACACCATGGGTGCCCAGACAGGCTTGATGGGGGGTTGGAAGCAGCAGCAGGGGGCTGGCAGCCATGCTGGACAAAGGGCCCTTGTGCTGCCTGCGAGGGAATCTGCTGGGATGGGACATTTTTCTTTCTCCTCCCTCCCTGATTCCCTTGCTCAGAAATTCATGTGACCAGAGAAGGGGGAGAGCCTGGCCCTGCAGATCCCTCTGTGGTGCCTGGGGCTCAGGCACCTTCTCCGAAGCCTCTTTCTTCCCTGAGACGTGGTGGCCATGGAACATCCCCTGGGATATTCTGGGGCCTGTGCCCGCCTTGACGCCCCTCTCTGTCACCCAGGTGGAGGATGGGGGCAAGGCTGCGCTGTCCCGCCGGCTGCAGCCAGGTGATGAGCTGGTGAACATCAGCGGGACGCCGCTGTACGGATCCCGCCAGGAGGCCCTCATCCTCATCAAGGGCTCCTACCGCACTCTGAAGATGGTTGTTCGCAGGTTGGCAGTGCTGTGGAGGGGGCACAGGGTGGGCCGGTGGGGCTTTACCTGCCTGGGGGACTGTCAGGAAGCTGGAGGTGCCCTTGTCTCCAGCTTGGAGGCGCTTCTTGCTGGGACAGGGTGGGGAGCAGCCCCTTTGCTGCTGTCAGCACTCCCGCTAAGTGGGGGTTCCACATCCAGCAGAGCCAGGGCAATGCATCGGGCTCACCACCCCCTCGCTGGGCGGTATCCTCAAGCGTGGCCGCTCCTCTCCCTTCCTGCCTGCCTGCCTCCTGCCTGCCTGCTTGCCTGGGAAAGGAAGGAGAGGCAGGGCTGGGCCTTGCATTCCCTTCCCCCCCTACCCCTCCAACTGCATCCATTCCCTGGCTGCATCCTGACTGACTCCAGCTCCAGCAGCACTCAGGGGCAGGGACGGCGCAAGGGCACTGCCCTAAGGGGCAGGGGTCCCACGGGACTGTGCTGGGGCTCAGCATCATCCATGGTGAGTCTGGGGGTTCTGGGAAGTCCCTGTGCTGACCTCACAGCTTGCCACTCATCCAGCCAGTAGATGTTGTGGCAGTACTTGGCAGTTGGGAGGTACAGGAGGTGGCTTCTGACCACGTCTGTGTAGTGGCGTTTGCTTGGGAGGCTGGAGACTCCTGTGGATGCTGTGAGGGGTGGGACAGGGACCAGCACAGGACCCTTCCCGGAGACATGGTGTGGCTGGTGCTTGCTGCAGATGCTGAGGGACAAAAGAACAAGGGGGAAGGTCAGGCTTGCGGTGGAGACAGATGTGGCCCCAGAGTCCCTTGGTGGAGCTAGTCCAGTCCCAGCAGAGACACTTGCCCTGCTCGGGGCATTGCCTATGGGCTATGGAGGGGCCATGTCCTCAGTCTCCTGTTGATGTGGCAGCAGGGATGCTGCAGTCTGGGGAGCCCTGGCCAGCTGGGTGAGCTGTGGGGTCCCCTTGCCCAGTGCTGGGTGCTTGCAGGGCTGGACCCTCCTCACTGCCATCCCCTTTGGGCGGGCGCTGGCCTGGGGGGGACAGGAAACGCCGTAGGAAGTGACTTCAGCCCCGGTTCCTTGGCCTGGCTTCCTCCCCATTCTTGTCCTTTCCCGCTGTTGCTCTTGGCAGGAGGAACGTGCCCGTCTTCCGGCCCCATTCCTGGCACGTGGCCAAACTTGCCGAAAGCCGCCCAGACGTCCCCACCATGCACTGCCCGGCTGATGCCTTCAGCCTCTCCTGGCCTTCGGGGTGTGATGTCAGGTGAGACCCTGGGGGCAGTTAGGAGCCTGTGCAAGGGGAGGGGGCAGACAGGACACTCTCTTGGGTTGTGGCAGCGGGGCTGGCATAGGGGCTCCTGCGCTACTTTCGGGCATCCCTCCTCATCCTGCACTACCCTTTCCCCTGGCTGTTTACTCCCGGCTCCCGGCTCCAGGCAGGAAGGGGCGGTGGCTCTGCTGGAGACAGCCAGGAGCTGCTTAGTCCCACTGCCCCGGCTGCCAGAGCCGGGAGGTCTCGAGTGGCTGGAGTCACACACACCCTGTGTTCCCTGTGCCTGCGCCCCTTGCCAGTGCCAGGCAACCTTGGTGGTGGCCCCAGCCCGGGGGTGAAGGGCAGGTTGGGGTAGTGCTGCCCCTGTGCTCCATTGTCCCTTGGAGGGTATATGTGGGGGTATGGGCTCCTTGGGATCTCTGTGGAGCTGGATGAGGGGCAGCAGGTGCCTGTAACACTGACGTGGGGCCAGGAAGCAGCAAGCTGTCCCTGCAGTGGAACCCACTGTCCTGGCACTGCAGCACTGACCGGAGCAGCTCCATCGGGAGCATGGAGAGCCTGGACCATCCCAGCCAGGCCTGCTATGAAGGAGACCCCTCACCCGTTGACCAGGGCATGTACCACAGCAAGCGGGATTCGGCCTACAGCTCCTTCTCTGCCAGCTCCATCGCCTCTGACTGCGCCCTCTCTCTCCGTCCTGAAGAGCCCGTGTCCATCGATCCCAGCCTCCAAGGCCCCTGCAAAGCCCCTGACAGGCGCTACCTGAGCACAGGGGCTGAGCCATCTGCCAGCTGGCACCCTGAGGCCTGGCGGGCACCTGTGCCCCCCCAGCCCCCTGTCAGGAGGGACAGCCTGCGAGCAGCCCCAGGTGGCAGAGGGGACAGGCACCAGGCGTCAGTGTCAGCGGACATGCTGCATGCCAAGGGCCGGTGGATCTCTGACACCTTCCTCTGCCAGCGGGATGGGGAGGCAGAAGCGGTGGGCAGGAGGAAACCGGCGCCATACCCCACGAAGGACTGTCTCTCTGCTGACCAGTATTACATGCTGAGCTCCCACCCCGACCGTTGCCCAGCTGAGCCACTCCTGGGGGAGAGCATGGAGTCAGACAACCAGCCGTACCTGGATGACAGCATGCACCGAGTGCCTGATGCCACCACAGCAGGTGACAACCCATTGCTGTCCCCTCTCAAGGGCCACGTATCGCACCGTCACAGTGCTCCCGAGCAGCTGCTGGCCTCCCAGTTCCGCTCCCTCCAGCTGGGCACCAGCAGTGGGCGAGCCTCGCCGGCCCCCAGCGGGCAACGCTGGACCTTGTCCCCACTGCATCCTGAGGGCGGCCGAGGGGGAGCCACAGGGGCTGCCCAGGATGCCCCGCACTGCCCAGAGCCTTGCTGCCGCTGCTGCCCCGAGCTGCAGCAGGCCTGCGGGCAGGACGGCCAGGGGGCCAGCCCAGCACTCAGCACGGAGGGGCCAGTGGAGGAGGAGAGCCGGGGCGCGGCCCGGCGTGCTGGGGGTCCTCCCCACCGCTCTGCTCAGATGCGCCGCCGCAGCGACCGCTTTGCCACCAGCCTGCGCAACGAGATCCAGCGCCGCAAGGCCCAGCTGCAGAAGAGCCGGGGTCCTGGTGCGCCTCCTCCTGCTGAGGAGCCAGTGGAGGAGACTGAGGAGCCCCCCGAGGGCAGCGTACTGGCAGAGCGACACCGTGCCCTGCCCGAGCGTCTCAGCCCCGCACCGAGTGAGGAGAGCAGGAACTCCGGCCGCTCTGCAGACCGGGGTATCCCCACCCCTGACCCAGTGCCAGCCCCTAAAGGGCCCCTGTCCCCTGAGCGGGTGGTGCCAACAGCCAGGGGCCGCTGGCGCTGGTCCCCGGAAAACAAGCCGCAGCCACAACACTCGCCCAGCCCCAGTGAACTGGAGGGCTACGGCCAGGGCCCGGCGGCCTGCAGCTCCCCGCCGCGGGGCAGCGACGAAGCGGTCCTGCTGCCCTTTGCCGACCGCCGCCGGTTCTTTGAGGAGAGCAGCCGGCTGGCAGCGCCCCGGCACAGCAAGGCGCCCGCAGGTGATCCCAGCGCCTTCCAGCCCCCCGGGCCTGAGCGCCGGGATGCCCGCCGCCTCTCTGTGGAGCAGCCCTACAGCCCCCCCTCACCCAGCCGCCCTGGCTCTGCCGGCCCCTACGCTGAGTGCTGCCGGGAGCAGCCCCACTGTTACAAGCCACTGGCGAGGCCGGGGGAGCTGGATTACCTGCGGGGCTTCTCCTACCCCTATGGGGCTCCCCTGCGCCCTGAGCCTTGCCGCTGTTGTGGAGGGGACCTGTGCCCACCACCACCGCCCCGTGGCCACACGTGCCGCTGTCACCCCGTGTCCTGGGTGCGCTGCCCTGACTGCTGCTACCCGGCTACCCATCCTGGGCGAGAGGACAGTGATGCCTGGTCCCCCCGGAGAGCTTTCGTCCCGGTGAGTAGTGCCCTGTGGAACTGTGCTGGTGCACTGGCACTCCCTTGCACCCCTGGACCATGAGCCTGGGTTGGGGTGTGGGGTACTGTTCCCCCAGTGGCCCTGCAGACTGCCTGCAAGCCTTCTGCACCTGAATGGGGATGGAACACAGGTGCTGGGGGATCGATTTCATACTGCTTTCCCCCACACACAGGAATTTCCTCAGGATGAGTGGGAACCACCTGCAATAACCCGGAAAGTCAGCCAGTCCATCAGGTGAGCCCATACCAAGTGCCACGGTGCTGGGATGTGTGTGCCGCTCAGTGGGGTCCTCTGCTAGGGGGATGTGGGGACTGCCATGATTCTGATTTGGGATGTAGAAAGTGCCTCCCATACTTCCTTGGCCGTCCTTGGTGTGGTGCCCTTTGAGGCAGGAGGGGGCATGCAGGGCAGGGGTGTGTGTGGAGGTGTCCACAGCAAAGGTGGTCTCTCCTCACCCTTCCCCAGAGGTCTGGGGCCATCTCGGGGGGGCTGTGCCCAGCAGATGAGCCTGGGCTTCTCCCACCAGTGTGACTGGATGACTAGCTGGGGTAAATGAGGCAGGGCATGAAATGGGCCTGAATTGCCAGATGGGTGACTGTGTACGGGAGGACGGGTGCCTCCTTCTCTTCCTAGTGAGCTCTCCAGCTACCCACCGGGTTTCCCAAGGCTTGGCCCATTCCACACCTGCCTTGAGAACACCGAGCCACAGTGGCCACCCTGCTATCGGGCCACATCCACGCATGATCTCCTGTGGGATAATGACCGCCTGGCCCACACTCCTGAGAGCCCCCCGGATCCGCAGCACCGCCCGCTGAGGGGCAGAGCCTTCTCTGAGAGCCACCTCAACCTGGAGCCTTCCAGCCCCTGGGGCTGTGACCAGAAGGACCATTTCCGTGCCAAGCTGGACCCTCCCAGCATCCCCAAAAAGAAGGGCCCCCCGCCACCCCGCCCACCTCCGCCCAACTGGGAGAAGTACAGGCAGCGCCGGGCATCCCAGCACCCAGCAGATGGTGCTGGGCATGGCTCTGCCTTCTCTGCTGCCCCAGTGCCAACCCGCAGCATCGCTGACGCAGTGAGGGAGCGGTCGCAGAGCCTCACCGGGGAGCAGAAAGGCCAGTCCTGGGGGCACACTGCTTGCCCCCCTGCTCCATCAGGTGCCTGGCCCCGACCTGAAGCCCCCAGATCACTCCGCAGGACTGCTGGGCCCGATGCTGCCAACGCTGAAATTTGCAGGCAAGTGGTGCCGTGGCATGGGGGTGGGAGTGAGAAAACAGATGCAGCCGGGACACGTGAGGGGGCTTTTGTGGGCCCTTGTACCCTGTATCAGAGCATCCTAATCCTTAGAGCACCCTGTGGGGGTTTTTGCCTTGTGGGGTGTCCCTGGCATGGCCATAGCCCTGGGTGTCCCTGCGTCCACGGGTGGGCAGGGGAGCTGACGTGCCCTGGGTGGATGTTGGCAGGGTGTCAGGAGCCGGGGAGAAGCGGACAAAGATGAAGCAGTCCTGGGAGATGGAGGAGCAGCCCCAAAGGCTCATCCAGAACCAGGAGCAGGGCTGTGCCAGTCCCCGCGGGGTGGGTGAGTGCTCCCTGTCCCTGCATTGTGGCTCTGGCCCTGCCCTGTCAGAGGCACTTAAGCCCAGCTCTGGGGCAGTGGAGGGGGTGAGCTGCCAGGGCAGCTGGCCCCAGCCCCGCTGCATGGACTCCGAGGAACGGCTGTGGGACGTGGCTGTCAGGGACCATTCCCTGGCCAGTGTCCTGGCCCCCTTGGCTTCTTCCCCTGGCACCGCCACTGAGGTGATGGGTGAGCTGCTGGTGGCAGGGGAGCGACAGGCCTGGCGGAAGTGTTTCCAGCAGGACTGGCACCTGGAGGCCCTGGCTCAGGACAGGTAGGGCTGTCACGGCACCGGGCCCCATCCCAAGGGCAGGCTGACACCCCCAGTGCTTATTGCTGTATCTCTGTCTCCCCAGGCAAGGTTTTGAGCCCATCTCACTGCCTCCCAGGAGTGCTGCCAGCTCCAGTTCCTTCCCAGTGCACTATGGTGTTGCAGTGGGCAAAACCGAGCCACTCAACAAGGTAAAGGCGCTGCCAGAGGTAGTGGAGGGGAGCTCGGAGGATGAGGAGGAGGAGGTGGACCATGAGCTGGTGGAAAAGAAGGTACAAGACACTGCTGGGGACAATTCCCTTGTGGTTCCCCACCGCCCTGGCCAGGTGCTCATGGGGACTGGGGAGATTTCTGGATGCTCACAGGGGCTCGGGCATCATTGGTCACTCTTGGGAGATGGGAACATCACCAGGCACTCACGGGCATGGGGGTAATTGCTGGATGCTTGCAGGTACCAGGAACATTACCATATACTGACATGGGGCTGGGACATTGTCAGATGTATGCAAGGACCAGGGGCATTGTCAGGTGCTTGCAGGACCTGGGAGTCTCACCAGATGCTCTTGGGCACCAGCGGGATCTCCAGATGCTTGATGTTTGCAGGGGCTGGGATGTTCCCAGATACCCACAGGGACTGGGGGCACCCATTAGGTGCACATGGACTCTGAGACATTAAGGGATTCTTGTGGGGACTGGGAATTGCCAGTAGCTCATGGGAACCAGGGGTACCACAAGGTTCTTGTGTACTGTTGGCCTCAGCACAGCACCCCTACGCCTCTGTGCCAGTCCCCTGATCCCACAGAGAGTGGCCTCAGTTACCCCTGACCCCTTTTGCTCCGGCAGCTGCAGCTGATTGAGAGCCTGAGCCGCAAGCTGGTGGTGCTGCAGGAGGCACAGCGGGGGCTGCAGGAGGACATTAGTGCCAATGGGGCGCTGGGTGAAGATGTGGCTGCTCGCCTGCAAGCCCTCTGCACGCCAGGGGAGTTCGACAAGTACCGCCTCTTCGTGGGCGACCTGGACAAGGTGGTCAACCTCCTGCTCTCCCTCTCGGGTCGCCTGGCCCGGGTGGAAACTGCGCTGGGCAGCCTGGGGCCGCACGCCCCTGCTGAGGACAAGGTGGGCATGGGGGAGGGACCCTCACCCTGGAGGCTTTGGGCTGTGGGATGCCCTGCCGATGCCAGCTGTCTTGCCCACAGCTGGCCCTGCGGGAGAAGCAGCGGCTGCTGGTGGCACAGCTGGAGGATGCCAAAGAGCTGAAGGAGCACGTGGGGCGGCGGGAGGAGGCAGTGGGTGCCATGGTGGCACGGTACCTGCCCGCCGAGCACCTCCAGGACTACCAGCACTTTGTCAAGATGAAGTCAGCCCTCATTGCTGAGCAGCGGGAGCTGGAAGAGAAGATCAAACTGGGCCAGGAGCAGCTCAGGTGCCTGCGTGAGAGCCTTGGCCAGGCCTCCAAGGACTGCTAGCCCCCTACCCAGTCTCCCTCCGGGATCCTGGCTGTGATCCCAGCTTGCTGCCAAAGAGGATCCAGCCCCTTGTGGATTCTCCCTGTGTCTGTCCATCTGTCCAGCCCCTGCCTTTTATTTATTTTTGTGATTTACGAAGCAGGGGAGGGGGGGTTGCCAGTCCAGGTGCTGACAGAGGCTGTTGTGCCGCAGAGCTGTCATGGGCTCTGGCCACTCAGCAGCCTGTGGCCCAGCAAGACCAGATGGATGGATGCTACCAGCACTTTCATGGGTCTTTCTGTGCCCATGAGGTCCCTCCAACTTGTCCTGGTCACCAGTGCCTGTCTTTTATCTGGTGCTGCACCACATGCCTTAAACATCCCCCAGCTACTATTCATGCAGCACCTGAAAGGGTTAAACCATGCTCACCCTCTGTCATGTCTGTTTGTCCAGCTCTGTCCATCTGTCCGGTGGGAGCTGAAGGAATTTCAGCCCCAGCATCCTCTTCCTCCTCATTGTGTCAGGAACAATGGCCCCAGCCAGCGGGTTCTTAACCCTCTCCCTGCTGGCTGAGGGACCACAGGGGGCTGAGGTGAGTGCCCGTAGGTGCTGTGTACCTGTGCCTTGGGATGGTGCCCTGCCAGGGCATGGCATGCTGAGACAAATACACTGCTACTCTCTGTCACCCATGCTGTGGGCATGGAGACAGCCCAGCCTCAACCAGCCCTCACTGGTAGCTTCTAGCTCAGCACCAGGAGGGATTAATAGAGGAAAAACTACATTAAAGACCAAACGGGGTACCTGTCCCCTCCTTTCTGCTGCAACAGCCATAAATAGCACTTAGATGTCACCCCCGCCACAGTCCACCTGTCTCCACAGCATGAGCAGGTGCCTTCATACTGATTTTGCACAGGGGTTTAATGCAACCAGCAGGAGCTTGGGCCAGAGGGGTAAACATTTTGGGGAGGTGGGTCGGCTGCAGCACTTTGGCATGGCCCCATAGAACCCAGCCCAGGGTTCAGGCAGTATCCGTGCCTGCCTGTGAGCTCCAGCAGCAGCCTCCCTGTGTTGCTATCCCCGCTCTGGGCTACCCTTAGCCTGTTAAACACTACACCTCACACCTGCCTGGCTGTAACGTGGGATGGTGCCTGGCAGGAGTGGGGTCCTCAACATTCCCTCCATCCCAGCCCCCCCAGGATCATTGCTAGGACCAAAGACTGCCCCCCCGGGGGCCATGCTGCTCTCATGGTGGGGGTCAGCAGCCCTGCACAGGGCCTGTGCTGGAGGAGCTGCCAGCGCCTGCATGTTGCTGCATGCCATTGTATCTCTAACAGTAAAGCAGCAGCAGGAGCTGCACTTCTGTTCCAGCTGTGTCTTGCGTGATTTGTCCCTGTGCTCCAACAAGTGGCACTGGAGCGGGAAGGGGGTAATTGCTCCAGCTGGGATGAACCGAGGCTTAGCCAGCCCTTGCAGGCTGAATCTGCCCGTGGCACAGTGGGCACCTGAAATGCAGCTGTGGGCAGGGTGTCTTCTGCTCCCAGTGCTCCTTGGCTGAGCTGGGGCACGGGTCAGCGGCTGGCCCTTGGCCCGGGATGCACGTAGGGGTCACAGCACTGGGGTAGTGCCTCCAGCATTTTCCCCGGCAGTCTGTCAGGGCACAGCTGCCACAGCTTCTGGGGCAGCCCCGGGGAGGGGGTGGCCGTGCCCAGGGGGATGTGGCCGTTCTGTGCCGGCCGGCGGGGAGCCCCGGACACCGCGCGGCGCCGGGACAGCGCCGGGACAGCGGCGGGGCGGCGGCGGCCGCCGGGGGGCGCCGGTGCCCGCTCGGAGCGCGGGTGGGCGCGGGAGCGCGCGGGGGGCGCGCCGCCGGCGGTGCTGCAGTGCGCGGGCACGCGCGCGGGGCGAGTGGGGGAGTCCGGGCGCGGGCACGAGCGGGGTGCGCGCTCACGGCTCTGCGGGGGATACGCGCACGTCACCGCGCGCAAGGGAGCGTGTGCGCGCAGATGGGCCGTGCGCGTGCATGTGAGCGCACACACACACACACACACACACCTGCGAGCGCGCGTTCTCGCAGCTGAACACGCGCGGTGTGTGAGTGTGTGCGTACGCGCACGGCCCCGCGAGTGACTGCCCGTGCAGGTGAGCTCACACACGGGGGAACGTGTCCTGTGTCCGATGTGCACATGTGTAAAAGTGTGAGTCCGTAGGGCTGCTTGTGCAAGCCCGTGCACACGGATAACTGCGGGCACAGCGAAACTGCCCCACGACCCATTCCAAACCCCGTTACCCCTCCATGCAGCTCCAGCTGCTGCCAGGCAGGACCATCGGCCCAAGGCATGGTGGCATGGCCGGGTTGCTGGGTACAGGGACCCTCAGTGCTGGACGTGGCCATGGTATGGGGTATCCTGGGGATCTTTTTGTGTGACCCCAGAGTCTTCCAGAGTTGCAAACAGGACCCACAAAGGTGGGGTAGCCCCTGGCCCTGGTGTCTGTCTCCCCATCACGATGATCTCTCCATTTTACAGATCCCAGATCTGTCCCACAATATGCCATACACCTGAGATGAGGAAGGATGAGGACATGGCAGGTAGTGATGCTTTAATAAGAAACCCCTGCCACATTTCGGAGATGGGGAATCCTGGAGCATAAAAGTCCAAACCCCACAGTAGGCCCCCCTCACTCCCAGAGTCCATTACAGCCCAAAAGGGAAAGCCATGCATTGGGAAGGGACAAGAGAGCCCTCCCTGTCCCTGCACTGGGACAGCATGGCTCTGCAGGAAGGAAGGGATATGGGGTGCTGCTGGCACTGGAGAGCCCAGAGCAGCAGTGGGTGAGAGATGAGCACAGGCACCCATGGGCCACTGGGATGGAAAGTGAGACCAGACCCTCTCTCCCTAGATGTGGGCTGTTTGGCGGCACACCCCACTGTGTGCACGCATGTGTGTGTGCTCCAACACACGCTCCAGGGCATGTTCTATGCAATCACACCTCTCTGGGGGTATCTGCATGCATGCACACCACAGAGTCACAGAAAGGTTTGGGTTGGAAGGGATCATTGAAGGACATTCTGTCCAACCCTCCCTGCCATGGGCAGAGTTAGGGTTAGGGCTAGGGTTAGGGCAGGGACATCTTCCAGGGATGCTGGGTTGCTCCAAGCCCTATCCAGCCTGGCACTGAGCACTTCCAGAGATGAGTCAGCCACACCTTCTCTGGGCATCCTGTGCCAGTGCCTCACCACCCCCATGAAAAAGGATTTCCTCTTTCTGTCTAACCCAAACACACCATAAGTCACTTTAAAACTGATGTCCCTTGTCCTGTCTCTACATGCCCTGTGAAAAACTCCTTTTGGAACCCCCTTGATGTATTGAAATGCTGCTTTAAGGTCTCCCTGGAGTCTTGTCTTCTCCAGGCTGGGGCTGCACTCAGGACATGGGTGGCTCTCTGGGCTGCCAGCACACTTCTGGGCACGTGGAAGTGTGTGATGGCATCTGTGTATGTGCTCAGCTCCATGTGATGATGCCATATGCCCATATGGTTGCATGGCAATTGTGCACATGCTCACTCGTGCTTGGGGTGTGCACGTGGGTATGTGCACAAAAATGTGTGTGGCCACAGTGTGAACGCTGACCTGTGCCAGCCATGTGCCTGTCTGGTCCATGTGGGGGACACACAAATACGTGCACAGTGGCAGCGCGTGTGCTCACCCATGCCCACACGCGTCCATGGCATGCACGTGTGCAAGTGCTTCCCCACGCCTGGGGCGTGCACGTGTGGCCTGTGACTGCTTGTGCGTGTGCCTGCGTGGATGGTACACACACATGTGCGGCCGTGATGCCTGTGCATGCGCCAGCCCTGCCCACATGGGTGCTGCACACGCAGGTGCACTGCAGTGGTGCATGTGCTCTCCCATGCCCATGCACGTACCCACGTGAGGGGAGCATCTGTCTGTGCACGGTGGAAGCCGTGCCCGCCCGTGTGTGTGTGAGCCTGTGCCAACATATGTGTCCCTGAGCACACCCGCACCGGTGTGTCCCTGAGCAGACCCGCACCGGGTGTCCCTGTGAGCACACCCACGCCGGTGTATCCCTGAGCACACCCACACCGGGTGCCCGTGAGCACACCCACGCCGGTGTATCCCTGAGCACACCCACACCGGGTGCCCGTGAGCACACCCACGCCGGTGTATCCGTGAGCACACCCGCACCGGGTGCCCGAGCTCACGCACGCTGGTGTGGCCAGGAGTTCACCCACACCTATGTGTTCCTGAGCACACCCGCACCGGGTGTCCCTGAACACAGCCGCACCGGGTGCCCATGAGCACACTCACGCCGGTGTGTCCCTGAGCACACCCACACCGGGTGTGTCCCTGAACACACCCGCACCGGGTGTCCCTGAGCACACCCGCACCGGTGTGTCCCTGAGCACACCCGCACCGGTGTGCCTGTGATCACACCCACGCCGGTGTGTCCCTGAGCACACCCACACCAGGTCCCCGAGCACACCCGCACCGGGTGCCCGCCGTGTCCGTGGGCGGGCGGTGCCCACGCGCGCACACGTGCTCTCCCGTGCCCGCGCCGGTGCCGCGCTCGGGCGCGCGCGGTGCCCGCCGTGCCCGCATGCTCGGGGCCGTGCGTGGGCCGCCCGCGCCGCGCAGCAGCGCCCGCCGTGCCGAGCAGGCCGGGGCTTGCGGCAGGGCAGGGCCGGGGCCGCTTGCGGAGGCACGTCCCGGCGGGGCCGGGGGGCCGAAGAGAGAGCGACCTCGCACCGGCGGCGGCGGCGGCGGCTCGGGCTGCGCAAGGTGTGTGCGGGGCGGGGGGGCGCTCCGCCTTCCCCCTCCCGGGCGTGCTGCGGGATGCTCGGTGGGGATCCGGCACCCGGCAGCCCTGGGGCTGGAGGAGGCAATGCACCGGCTGCAGGGGGGGCGGGCCGCAGCGCTGCCCTCGCTCCCTCCCTCCCTCTCCTCTCCTCTCCCCGCAACGCTTGTTGCTGCGCCGGGAGACGGCCCCGCGGTTGCCGGCAGCCGCGGGGAAGGGGGAGGGCGCGGCGGAGCCGGCCCGCGGTAGGTGCGCGGGGCCCGGCACGGCGCCGTGGGGTGCCCCCCGCCACCCCCGGGCCGGCCGCGGCAGCCCTGCTGCCGTCCAGGCTCGCTCGTCGAGGTAGGTGCCCCCCCGGTCCCTCCGCAGCCCTCGGGGCCGCAGGATGCCATGGGGACGTGGCTTCCCCCGCATGCGGGAACCCCGCGCTCCCCCCTCCATCCCAGCCCACCCGCAGTCACCTGCTCGGGGCTCGCAGCCCACGGGCGCGGGAGGTTCACCCATCCCTTCCCAGCTGCCGGAGCCAGACGGATGGCGGGGTCCAGCTGCTGCTTTCCATGGAGATCCCTGCCTGTCCCCGGCCTCACGGGGCAGCCCAGCGGCTCGGGGGTGGGCAGCAAGGGGAAATAGCACCGGCTGCGGGCATGGCTTCCACCCCTCTATGCACCAATGTACCGATGCCCGAGCGTGGGATGACCACAGTCTCCTGCGCCCGAGTCGGGGACAACGCTGGGATGCCAGGTAGGCTGAGGAATAGTTGGGACGCTGAAAAAAAAAGCAAGGAAGGAAAACTTTGCCTGCAAGGATGCCACCCTGAGTGTCATTTCTGGGCAAGGATGCACTACGTCCCTTGATTTCCAGGACTGCACCTCCCGTCTGGCAGAGCCCTACAGGATGAGGGGCCATGCCTGCCTCTTCAGGGCTTTTCCTCCATTCCTATGTGCCCTTGTCCTCTCAGGGCTGACATCAGGGGCTGCAGAGCTCTGAGCCAAGCCAGGTTGGAAGATGGCCGAGAAGCTGGTGCCTGGGGACTTGTTCTCCAGGAAGACCCGGGAATCAGTGTCATCCCTGGACTTGGACAAGCTGGCACCCATCTCACCCGAGGTGGGTGGTGAGGAGTCGTCCGACAGCGAGGGAGAGCAGGAGGACAGTTCTCACAAGCTCATCCGGAAGGTTTCCACCTCGGGGCAGATGAGAAGCAAGGTCAGGGGTGGCGGATGCTGCCGGTGAGGGGCTGGCTGGGTGTGGGGTCACTGCTGGGAATGGGGCAGGGGAGATCACCAGGGTGTAAATCAGTACCAGGTTCTTGCTGCTGGCAGACTTGGCCCATCCAGAGCTGGGAGGGTTCTGGCCCCATGTGTCCTGTGGGAGGGCACATAGAAACATGCAAACCCCACAGTGATAGTGTCAGCATTGGTCCCATGGGGCTGTGAAGCAGAGATTTTATCCCACTATTCAGGAACAGGGTCTCTCCCATACCCACATAGCTCCTACCACATTGCCTTCATGCTGCATTTGTATCCCCTGGGTTCCCCTTACCTGTCCCTGGAAGATGAGGACTCTTTTTGGGAGGCTCTGCTCCATGGATGCTCTGGGGCTGAGGTTTAGGGTCATGACAGTTCTGTAGGCTCCTTGGATCCCACACCCTGCTGCAGACATTGTGTATCCAGGGTTTGCTGGGTGGCAAAATGGAACCTGCATCTTTCCTAGCGCCCCAGATCAATTTGGCTGTGCCAGCTGCCCATGCTCCCCATTCCCACAGATCTAGTTCACAGTGGTGGTTTGCTGGACAGATGGGAACACCTTTGAGGTCAGATGTGACACTCATACTTCCCAGGCACTGGCATGACAGCAGCTGGGGTGTGTGTGTGTGTGTGTGTGTGTGTGTGTGTGTGTATCACAGTTGGCTCAGAAAAAGGTACTTTGATAGCACCTACAAAATACGGGGTGTGGTGCCTTTAGCCAAACAGGAGTGCGTGGTCAGAGGTGTCCCAGGTCAGGAGAGTGAAATGCAAGGGAGGGAGAAATAACCTGGGCTGAATGGCCAGGTGGGATGTGGGGAGAGAAGGGGGTTTGGGGGGGACATTCTGGGGAGGGAGGATGCAGACACGGCGCTGGGAGGATGCTCTGGATGACATGCTGGTCCTTTGCATCCACCTTTCAGCTGCAGGAAGGAGGTGGTGGAATGAGTCAAGGCAGTGCCTGCAGTGTTGGGCGGCACACGGGGGCTGCTAGAAATCCCCCTGCAGCCAGCTTTTGGTGCCAGCCACCCCTCAGCGGGGATTTGGGGGCTGTGCTGCTGCAGGGAGAGGGGAGAGCTCTGTCAGCACAGCATGGGAATGTAGTTGTGGAGAAGGGGGCTATCACTGGACTCTAGTGTTGGGTGCTGAGGGCATGAAGGAGGGGGAATGAGGCAGTGAGGGGATGCTTGGGGCTGGGGTAGGCTCCCCTCCTGCTGGCCCTGTCTTGGCTGTTATGCCAAGCCTGGTGCACTGGCATGTGGTGGGGCAGAGGATACCTGCCCAAGGGTATGGAAATTGCATCCTCCCAGCCTGGCACTGTGGGGATTTTCCACTTGGCAGAAGAGACTTCTGGGGCATTGAGAGGGCTCTTACTGAGTCCCTCTGGCTGCTTAAGGAGCATACCTCCATTTCCCCTTCTTTGAAGCAGGCTGGCATCAACTCTGCCCTCTCCAAGCCAGGTGGGTGTAGAGGGCTGTGCAGGGTGCAGGCTGTTGGGGAGGAGGTCGCCAAATCCCCCCCATACCACCAGCAGGTTCTGGCCTCGTGCTGACAGGCTGCACGTGGGGAAAGGCTGCTGTGGTTGCTGCCCACATCCTGCCTGGCAGCAGCAGTGAGCCATGCAGGAGCATGGCTGTGCAGCGTGCCAGGGGAGGCAGGTGGCGTGATGGATGGACAGGTGGAAATGACATATCTGAGTTAACAGCCCATGGAGCTGGGGGAGAGAGTGAGAGCTGGCAGGGCTGGAGCTGGAGGGGCCTGAGAGTGAGCTGTGCAGGCTTCCCCTGCCACCTCTGTGTTTTCAGTGTTGGGGTTCAGTGTTTTTCCCGAGGATGCCTTTGCCCTGGTCCAGATGGGCAGGACTGCACTTGCCAGCCTGGCCTCTGGTTGGATGGACTCCTTCCTTCCCTCCGGAGATGAGGATTTTTGGATGACATTGCTGCTGCCACCCAGGTCAGGCTCACAGCCCTGACCTGGCACACGTGCTGCCTGTCACTCCAGCCACAGCCACAGGGTGCGGGCCATGGCAGGCACCTTCCTTGGCACCCAGGTGGGCCTGGGGGAGGGAATCATTGCCTGCACCCCAGGGGCAGGTGCCTGAAGAACACAGTTTATAAGGGAGAGTTCAGCGCCAGGGTGGCAGCTCCTGAGACAACAGTGGTGGGGGTCAGGGCTCACTGTCCTATTTTGAGTAATATGTGGTGGATGAGGTGCTTGAGAGGGTCTACAGGAGCCTGCCATGTTGGGGGGCTGAGAAAGGTCAGGACCCCCACCCCATCCACACTGCCTGGGGAGCCCTTGGTCTCCGGTGATGGGAGCAGGCAGCTTCTCCCACTCCAGGCTGTTCTCCAGCCCCTGGGACAGGAAGAGGCGAGGATCATTTTGGGATCTATTGAATCCCTCTGATTGCTGCTCCCCAGTCCCAGTGCTTCTGCACTCTGAGTGCTCGTGCCCCCACATCCCTTCCTCAAGCCTCCCCATCAATCACATTCCCCCTCACTCCACACCTCCGGGCTGGAACTGCAGAATCCCTGTGAGGTGCTTTGTGCCAGCATTGCTGTGGAGGTGGCGAGGTCATTGTGCTCGGTGACAAAAGCAACTGCCAGATGCAGGTGTCCCTGCTGGACTGAAAGGCTCCAGGATGGATGGAGCCCTGCTGACATTCCCCCCCACCCGCCCCCACCCTCCTCATTGCATCTGGGGGCTGCCAGTTGCCCGTACCAGTTTTAGGTGTGCAAGTGCAGAGTGGGAGGGGGGTGTGACGCTGCTTCCCAGCACTGGTCCCCTTCGGGCTGGGCGAAGGGGAGAGAGGGACCACTGCTTCTGGGGTGCACCAATGCATTTGAGTTGATGGGGTGGTGGGTCACACCCTGCCCGTGTGGCTTGGATGTTCATTCCCAGCAGCTGCCTCCCAGAGTGGAGGCAGAGAGTGATCCAGCAGTGCTGTGTGGTTCAGCGACCAGCAGGTCCTGGGGTGATTGCACCTCAGCTAGGAGGCACAGGCATCGAGGGGGACACAGCTGACAGGGATCCAGGGGTGCCCATGGCATGGGCACAGTGCATGGCCATGGTGGCAACTTGTCTTGTCTGCTGTTTGGAAAGGGGGATCGTGTTCCCAAATTCCTGATCTTGAGATACATCATAGCTGTTTGGTGGGGCTGAGGGACACACCAGAATCCTCCCATGGGGCTCAGGGAGGTCAGTGGGTTTATTGGTAGCCTTGTCCTTGCTGCATGTATTGAGCATCCTGCAGGCTCGGGTGCCCCAGGAATGGGGCAAGCTGTACCTGTGCATATTGGGGTGTTGGGCAGCTGTAGGAGCCTGGTGAGGCAGTGCTGTACCTGTGCATCCTGGGGTGTTGGGCAGCTGTAGGAGCCTGGTGAGGCAGTGCTGTACCTGTGCATCCTGGGGTGTTGGGCAGCTGTAGGAGCCTGGTGAGGCAGTGCTGTAGAATCAGGCTGTGCCCACTGAGCACTAAATCCTGGCCAAAAGATGAAGAAAGAAGGTAAAGCTGGCTGGGGCCAGGCCTGGAAACCTTTCTTCTGCAGCAGGAGGATGGCTCCTGGGCAGTGCATCCTCTAGATGGATACTGGAGCATCTCTCATGCAGAGAGAGCCTGGGAGAGCTGGGACTGTTCAGCCTGGAGGAGAGCCTGTAACCAAGGGGTTTGAAAGGGGCAGCAAAAGGGGAACCAGGCTCTTCTCAGAGGTGCCCGCCAGTGGGCAGAGATGAAGAAATAGGAATTGCACCTCAACACAAGAAAACACTGCCTGAGACCAGGGAGGCTGGGCTTGCTCTCATTAATCAGGGCTCACCAAGCTGGTGCCTGGGCTGTGAAGATAGCCCCACTGTCACGAGCCGGATGTTTGTGAGGTTTCTCAAGCACTCTGCCCTCTCCGTGCTCACTTTTTCTGTTATGTGAATGTCGCTCTTGTCCATCAGCTCTTGCTCAGCCCTGCTGGGCACAGTGGGAGGGCTGTGCCCACCAGCACTGGGGCACAAGGTGCAGAGGTGAGCTAGCACAGCTGGGCTGAGTGGGATGCTTGTAGCACGGTGTTTGGGGACCGATGTAGCTGTAGATAGGGAAGCATAACCTCATTTCTAAAAAGCAGCTGCTGGATAATGTGCTGCTATAGGGGGGTTGCCTTTCTTCTGGGGGCTCCTTTCCTCATTCCTCTCCTCCTTTTGGTCGCCTTTCAATGGCCTTGTGGGCACAATGTGATGGCTTGTGAGGACTGGTGCTGGAATCTCCTTCTGAGCATCCACCCAGCGGGGTGTGGGATACTGTGGTTGGTCCTGCATGGCAG